CCGCCTAAACATGGCAAAGTAGACGAAGCCCCCGCACACCACTTGAAGTTGTCGCTGAGTGACCAATGGCTGGTGCAGCAGCTTCAGTGCCAGGCTATAATACTTACTAAGCTTGGACTCCTTCGGGAAGGCCAGACCCCGCACACCATCAACTGTTGCACCCTGAAGCTCACAATGGGCCGAGCGCGAAACACCTTTCTTGGCGTTCCGAGGCACCTGCCACTGAAGATACTCTGATCTCAATGCTAAGACACCTACGGGCGTGGTCCCTTCAAGCTCAACCATACCTGTCGCCTGGACCTTTTCCAGAAGGTCATAGTTGTCCAAGTAAACCCTCCATGCCGAAGACGACACCGTGAACGGCCTATCCTTGCGCAGCTCGCTCTCCTCATGATGTACCTGATCGCCCTCATGACACGCCCATTTGACCAAGTTCCTGTGCACGTTCTGTGCAAGGCTCACGGAGTTGAGGAACCCCATGGGTAAAACCCTGGAGGCCAAGTAGACGTTCTGTCCCCGCATGTGCTTCGGCAAGCACACGTCTGGTACACACTTGTTAAAGGACAAGTACTTGACCCATGCATCTGGCACCCTCATGGTATAGAAAAAACACTTCACATCTTCAGAAGAGACCAAAAGGTTTTCGCCAGGTTGCAAAAAGTATGGGTTCATCATGCCCCACGAGGGTAGCGTGTCGACGTCGCCGGAAAGGGGTTGACATATGGCATTTAATGGCACTAAATTCATAATGAGACGGCAAATCTCCGTCCCGTCATCCGTCCACTCCTCCTTGCCAACAGCGAACAACCCGTTCAGCAAAGGACCTTCGTCAGTCTGGAAGACCTGCTCCTCCTCAATGAGGGTGCAAACACCCGCCTCAAGTAGGCCGGTGCACAGGCGTGGCCAGTCAGCGTCATCCACCATGACTTTGGGCCTGGTGACCTTACCCCACTGCTCCCGGGGTTTAATGAACCCATCAAAGGAGCGAACGTACTCCCGACACCCCAAAGTGCACACCTCCTCGAGTGGCACCGCCCCGATCTCTTTCGGGAGGGCAGGAGCAATGCTGGCCCAGCTGACCTTCCTGGCCACCCGAACTTCATCCCCTTTGTAATCGATGCCCCGTACCATGAAGAATTGGTCCCAATCAATCCCAACCAGATGCAATCCTAACTCACAAAAACGTGTCACATCCTCCTTAATGAATTCCAAAGCCCTTTTCTGACATCTCGTAGGTTCCCGATCAGCAAAAATCAATTCTCCCCAAAAGGAGTTCAACGACAGGCAAACACAGGTGACCCACTGAAGAACCTGTTCCGGACAATCAGGCCATAGGTGCATAAACACATGTCTGGAGGTGGGCAAGGGCAACAGGGCGGAACTGTCAACCTTACCCGTGGACTTGCTGCGAAGCGGTAGTACCTCCAGAAGTTTTTGCACCAGGAACGAACCCGATTCCGAAACCGACGAACCGACAGGTCCCAAATCCCTCGCACTTTTTTCTGCTGTCATCACGACTTGTGCAGGTGCAGCTCCCTCGCTACCACTTCCATGAAAAGAGGGTGGTCTTGGCGGGAACTCTTGAAACAGATCGGCGCCCGACATGGACACCTCATCAGCCACAGTGCTAAAGACTCCGGCTGGCTTGTCATCAGAAAAATGCCCCAGTTGCTCCTGCCCTGAGCCGTGTCGCTCAAGGTCCAACCCAGCGCAGCTCAACCGTAGGCCTCCACAATCTCCCTCATAGTAAGGCTCCCGGTCCCAGGAGCCAGCCTCTACTTTGCTTCCTCCTCTCTCCTCTTGCCTTTGTCCTGCTTGCCAGCACCTTTGCCTTTGCCTCGATCGCGATCTCTCCTCCCGGTCTCCTGGCCGGTCCCCTCCTTGCTCTTGCTTTGTCCCTTGCCACGGGACCTCCCATCCGGGAGTGAGGCGAGATGCCTCGTCTTGGCGTCTTCCGCCGCTGCCCGTTGAGCACTCAGCAACTCCTCCCTGGGAGCTATAGTCTGAAGATCCAAAGGGGGGATTTCCAGTCTCTGGGAAACGCTCCAGTGAGACCCTGCCATGGTCGCCTCCACTGACTTCACTCGTTGAAGGAGGCAATCGACTGCCTGAGCGGCTCTGCCACGGAGTAGCGCTGTGCATAGTGTCAGTAGCTCCCTGGCTACCGGGCCATTGCTCTTCCGCTGGAGCTCCTGACGAAAATACTGTATGGCGGTAGGTGTCACCAGCTGGCTCTGATCCTCGAGTCCCGCTCCCTGGAGGAGGACCCTTCTCATGTCGGTCAACGAGCGGGCTCCAAGAGCGCCCGGGCAGCTCTCGGCGACCCTTTGCACCTTCGTGGCACCCTCGAAGAAGCCCTCCTCCTGGCCGATGTCGATCTCCTCGTCCCTCTCCGACGAGGAGCTCCTGCTGGAGCTCCCGGCTCTCTCTGCCTTCTTCCTCCTGACCACTCGTCTCGCCTTTCTGGCCACCCGGCGCTGGATCTTCTCTCTCTTGTCCAGCCCCGTGCCCGCGAAAAGGGCTTGCAGGCTTTTGGCCGACGCTCCTCGAGGCGTGGTGCCATCGGTCCTGATGCCCATGCTCGATGTGGATGAACTCTGGTCCACTGCCTTCTTCTCCTTGTTGGCTCGCCCTTGCTCCTCCCGTTGCTTGGGTTTTGAGGGCGATCGTGACCTCTTTCTCTTCTTCTTGCCTCCTGGGCTTCGCTCCTTCTTTCTTTCCTTCTTCCGACGACCTCTGCTGCGGTCCTTGCCGCGTGAACGACTCTTCTCCTTCTTGTCCTCGCCGAGCTCCGCACGCTTCTCGCGAAGGTCGTGAAGCTCGTCGCCACCTGGGGTCTCCACTGCCTCCAAGTTCCTGCACCAATGCTCTTCTTCTCCTCGTGGCTTGGCCAAACGCAACTTCTTGATGTGGATGAGGTCGTCTGCAACCCTGTCTCCTGTACACGCCGCCCCCGGAGCTGACCCTTGGGAGCTCCGGTACAATGGCGAAGAAGACCCTCGCAATCGGTCCCAGTGGCCTGCAGCAACACGTGGCCCGCGTCGCGGTCCACCTCCACCCCTCGAATGGTCCCTGCCACTTGACAAGGGGCGTTGAAATAGCTGCCCTCCAGGATGACCACGTCGACTCCGCGGGCCAGTTCGAGCAGCGGTACGTCCTCGGCCTGAAGCACGTGCCCTTGCTGCCACAGCTCCCGAGGCACAGGAGCTCTGTCTCCTCCTGGGTGTCCTGCCGGCCGCCGAAGAACTCCTCGTCCACGATGCCTCAACGGTGCAACTCGCCCCCCTGCTCGTGCCTTGGCCTTCGGACGAGCTTTGGGCTTGGCCTTCGCCTTGCCTTTCGCCTTGGGCGGCATTGCTGCCACTAGCGGCGACGAGGCCAATAGCGGCCTCTCTCCCTGTGCTTGACACCTTTCGTGCCTCTCTTGCGATGCGGCGCCCTCTCGATGGACCTCGACCTCTCACGCCGATGCCGTCGATCACCTCTGCCGTCGTTCCAACCCCGCCTGCTAGGTGGGGGATGGTCGGGACTCCTGGGCCTCTTGGGCGCAGGTGGTGGTGGTGGTAAGTCGTAGTGGGCGAAGTGCTTGGCTACGGTCCCCTTTGGTGCGGGGCGTAGATTGAACTGGTTGGGGTGATGCTCAACCGCACGATCTTTCACCTCAGTGCTCGTTGCAGGGTCGCTCAAATCAACAGCAGTGCTCCCAGCACCGGTCTCCTTCTCTCCTCTCCTCTCTCTCTTTTCACGCTTTGCCTTTTCCTTCTTTCTTGATGGGCCGCTCTTGTGTTTTCGCTTCTTTAGCTTCTTTGGCTGCTCCTCCTTCTTGACCTCGGCCGCCTCAGACTCCTTCTCTCCTTCACGCACCAACTCAACAGGCTCCTTCTCCTCAACGTGCTCCTCCTTGGGCTTCACGTCAAAGTTCCCGGGTGGTACCTCTGGAGCTGATGTGGTAGGCGACGGAGGTGGTTCCTTTTCAGCCTTGGCCTTGACCTCAGGAGCCGCCTCGCTCCCGGCTGAACCTGGTGGGTCAGCAGCCAACCGCTCTGCCTTCAGGATAGGCGCTGCGAGCTCGGCCAGGTCCTGGAGCTCGCCAACCGCCGTTCGCAGGATCAGGAGCGCTGCGGCCTCCTGACTGCGAAGCAAGGTGCCGCCTCGACAGAGCGAGCGGATGCGTTCCACCGCCCGGCACACCGAGCACAACGAACCACCGGTCCTCTGGCCAAGACCGCACTCACCGCAGGCCATCCAACACTGAAAGCCGAAACGCTACAAGACAAAACATAAACGAGCATCTTATACCCCGGGGGCGTTTGTACATATAAACCTTGCGCTCGCCGTTGCGCCTTCTTGCGCCTACCAGGTAAAAACAGCCCAAAAACTGATCAATCTTTATGACATGTCCTCTCTAAAGCCTGACTCTATACAAGGGGTTTCGAACGGCTCCCATATATATTTACATATACTGCCAGTATGCTCTATTTCCTGTTTCATTACACCTATAAAATATAATCGACACCTCGGGGTTGTTTTTTTAAATTAAGCGTCCTGGAAACATGGGCACGCTTCGTTACTTTCTCCTCCTGGTACTCTCTACGTACACAAACCCAAACTCAGCTCCACCAACCCAAACCCAGAAAGGCCTCACTTTCCAATCACAGCACGCTAGAGGAGAGCGGAAGAACATGCAGCAGGGCCAAAGAGGCAGGTGGAATAAGACCCGTCGAGTAAAGAACACCCTAGAACAAATAAGGATCAAGTAGAAGATAGTATACATGCAGCATCTCTTCTCAGTTTGGCTCCTCTCCTAGTAATTCAAATCAAAGCGCTTCACTCACACCCAAGATCCATTCAGGTTAGGAACAACATCGAACAACATTTCCAACTCTGGAATGTTCACCAACCCACTGGTCCAGTACACCACTCACCACACCACCGCCACGTCACCCAAGAAACCCATCAGTTCACCCGTTCACGTCACCACCACTCCGGGCGCTCCGAGCGGTGGAAGCAGCGATCGGCCAGTTGCACGACTTGCCAGGCCGTCAAATACAAACTACTGCGCCTCGCAGTCGTCCGGACGGACCACCGTCGCGACGGGTCCACGGACGTTTTCCGTGGGATCGGGTGTAGGATCGGTTGGTAGGTTTCAGCAGATGGTAGATGGGCCATCTGCTTGGATGTCGTTCTTTTATGGGTTTCGGGGGAGAACAATATCACCAAACTTGAGGTCACTTGTCTCCGAAGCTCTGAAACCGCTGCACTGCTCATTGACTCCACTGGCCACTGACACCAGCCAGTGTGGCCACATCGACAGAGGTGATGGATGGGTCAAATGACTCACCAGTCAGTCCCTTTGGGAGAAAACTGGTCGTCACCAGCACCAACAAACCCACCAGATGTAAAAATCACTTGATGTTTTAAGTGTGTTGTTTTTACATGCTTTTCCCCCTCAGAGTCCAGTCGACCATTTCTACAATACTCTAACAGGTGACCCGAAAAGGAATGCCAATTTGGTGCTCCCAACACTATCATAGGATATCATAGGGATAGGAGCTACGTTCTTGGCTCGTCCGAAAAAACGCTCGCTTCGTTCGTCGCGATGTTCTTGGTCCTTGGTTCCGTTCGAGTCGAGGTTCGCGCTCCCTTCGTTCGTCGCGAAACGGGCTCCGTCCGGAAATCGCTCCGCTCCCTGCCTCACCAGCACTTCGGCTACTTGACGACACCGCTGGAGGCTGATCACCTCCCGGCAGCGTGGCAACGCCTGAAGGCCCCGGCGCACGGGGCTGTGGCGGAAAGAGACACATAGGAGAGGGGCCGCGGAAGAGACGAGCAAAGAGGTCCAAGAGGTCCCGCGGTGGCGATTTCCAGTCGGAGCATTCTGCTTTTTCGGTCTTTTGATTTCTTACTTCAGGATATGCTGGTAGATTTGGTAGGAAGAGAAAGGATATGGGCGGTCCACGGTCGATGAGTGATCAAATCGTTTTTCTTCCGGGGTGGTCAGGCGGGCTCCCAGGGACATTGGCGCAGGGCCATCGAGGTATTTTGACAAGAACATGATTGATCAAAGAAACGATGGCTTTTGCAGGGGTCTTCCGGCAGCTTGAACGTGAGATTTTGGGAGACTGCGAATTGTATCGATGACACACATTTCTCTTTTGATGCGAATGATGTGGGGCCTGAGTATTGATGCTGGCAAACTGATGAGCTCTTTTCGTTCGGTTTGGTTCAATGCTTGTGGATGTATGCTGGTTGCAACAAAGCCTTTGCTTACTACCTGTTTTGGACCAAGCAGAACCTGTGCAAAACGGCCGTCGAATCCGAACCAATTCCCTTTGAAAAGGGGACCGTACCACGTGCCGCATGTGCCGGCAAAGGAATTGACATAAAGAATATCAAACCATCCAAGCCTCACAGGTTGGCGGTTTCAACTCGAAACATCTGGACTGTCAGTGGGATCAATCATCAACGGTGGAACATTCACAAATTCCATCGAAACCGCCATCAATTGATACTCTTGGATCTTGGATGGACAAAACACCTCGCCGACCTATATGCCGATCCTTCCAACTTCGGTTGTTTTCATTGCACCGCTCTTCGGATGGGAGGAATCTCATGGCTTCTTTCCCCGCCCATTCCATGAGCCGACCGGGTCCGGGTCTCCGGACGGGCACGGCCATGCGCAAGTCGTTCGTGGAGTGGAGCAGGTCCCGACCCTCGGCCGCCGGGCGACTGGGCGAGCGATGGAGCTTGCGGTCGAGCAAGTGAGGGGTGAAAGCCCAATGGTCTGGTGGCATGTCTTAGGAGAGGGTTGACGGTTTTTTTGGGACCACCAGACAAGGTGACAAGGGCATTCCTTTTCGGATCACCTGAAGATGATTTTGGGAATGGTCGACTGGAGTTCCAGTCTTTAGTCAACAGTGAATGATATTTTTGTGTTACTCAACACAGTATGAGGCATTTCTTTTTGAGCGTATATTATTGTGGACAACTCTTGGTGGCTGGATGTATGTTTTGGAGACCCAAAGTGTGCGCATGGGGCTGATATTATCTTTGTCATATTTTCGCTGTGAACAATGCCGCACCTCGGAATGTGGAAAGAACTCCCGGCCCCCTTTGCGTCGGTATAATCGATGTTCCTTGGCCCAGAAAGTCTTGAATGCTCCTCAATATGGTAAAAGAACCTTGAGCTAGCATCCGGATTAGCATATGGCAGGTGTGAGTTTTCTCATCACAGCTCTCTCAAGCCACATCCAAAGGATCATGGGTCCTTCCACTTTCTTGGCTGCATCGAAAGGACCAGTGAAGGAACTCGTGCTGTCCCCCCAAGCCGAGCCCCCAGCCGATGGTCGTGCGTGGGGGCTTCGGTCCCTCTTCCGGGAGCTGGTCAGCGGGGCCGCTAGCGGCCGCTAGCGGCCAGCGGCCCTCCCTTCCTGGTGCCCGGACCCAGGTCCAAGAGTTGTCTGGATTCAGCTGGGCATCCTGCGGTGGCGGGATGGTCACGAGAACGAGGAACCCAGTTCAGCAGTGTCTGCAGATGGCGAAGAAGTCGCAGATGGTCAGGGTGTTGGGGATTTCAGGCGACTCTGGGACTCTGCGGTTGGTGAAGGGACGATCGTGTCCGGAACGGTTTCAGTGTGTCGACGGGCTCTGTGGAGATCGTTTCAGTGTGACTTTGTGGACCTTTTTTGCCTTCAAGACTATTCAAGACTGCTGATTCTCGCCCTGAAGAAAAAACCATATGGTGAATGTCCTTTCTTTGCTTCGACTGCTTTTCCGACTTCGTCCGACCACCGAACCGTCCAGCCAGCGACCGACCGGACGAAAAGTCCTTGGAGATCCAGGAGAGGCTCTGGAAGGGCTGATACGCCCAGGCGCGCAGCAATCCATCCTTGCAGACGTGTTTGACGCCGAAACGGACTTCTGAGCGAAACCGAACGGAACAAGGGCATCGCTACGAAGGGAACAAGGACGCTACGATTGGGGCACTCCTGGCCTTACTACTAGCAAGAAGCTACTAGCCAGGTCGTTTGGACTATGATTGCACTCAACATCACCCGATCTAGTCGAACGCACAGAATGAGTCCCCGCTGGTCGTGTGGCATTGGCCTGGGTTGCAAAAAAGAAGCCCCTTGGCACGGTTGGCACCACGGTCCTTGTTCGCACGCCATCAGGGCAGTGCCGGAATCGGTTCCTGGTTTCATGGTATGTGTGTGTATATATATATTATAATATATATATATGAGGGACGGTCAAAACTCCTTATTCTTCTTCAACTAAAAAATGGACGTCATCGGTTTTGAGTTGGACCTTATCGTTTTACAGCGTTTTGAGTTCGTCGCATACTTTCGATCATATACAGCGCTGGGGTTATCGGTTTTGAGGTGGACCTTATCGTTTTGCAGGGTTTGGGGCACAAACCTACCCCTCTTTACTAAAGTGGTCTTCGCATTTTTTGACCGCGGCTCATATGTCTTCCTATTGGCTGGCTGGTTCAGTGCCTTCGCTAGTCCTTCGCTAGGCCCGGAGAAACACCTAATAGGACTGCGAACTGGTTTGTGTTGTGAAATCAGCTTGAAGGACTTTACCTCGGTCGGTCGTCCTTTGACGCTGTTTCTGTTAGGCACCAAAGAGAGTGATTCCTTGCTACTAGTAGCTTCTTGTTGCTAGTTGCGATGGCCTCCAACCCAATAGCGATGGCCTCCAACTAGTAGCTTCTTGTTAGTAGTAAGGTGCCTGGCTACTAGTAGCCTTCCACACTTCTTGCAGTGATTTCCCTGTACGACTCGTCATTCCGCCACTGCAGCACTAACCAGACTACTACGACTCAGTGGTGAACAACCAAAAAATTCTAGCCATCGAACGCACAGTGTTCGTCGACCCTTGAAGGGCTTCAATCTCCTCCGACAAACCACATCAGTGACTGGTTGCACTTGAAGTACGAGCCTGGCTGGAGCCCCTGGCTGGCAGTTGCGAACCAAGAGCTGCTTCACCCAGGAACCAAGAACATGCATCACCCCAGTCCCTTCCGAAACGCACCGAAAGCGCGGCCGATCGACCCCCGAAAGCTGCCCCCGCGCCATCTGCGCGAAGCCACGCTGGCCCTGCCGCACAATGGGGCGCCTCTGTCCATCCTGGCACGTGTGTGCTTCCCGTGGCTGGTGTTGGTGTCCAGTTCCAATCGGTTCCAATCATCGTGTCCAGTGAGCGGCTCTAAGACTCTATGTGAGCGGCGACAAGCCCACCACTAAACATGAACAGGGAGGTTTATAGAGTCGCTCATGTGTATAATATAGGCATATATACCACACACCTGTGGTTGATAGATGGGCCCCTATGGGATGACATATACCTATAGATTCATCCATCAATGGCATAACACCAGTGTTTTAGGATGGATACCATCCATCAAAGGCATATTTAGAGTATACGCAAGCACAAATCACATACCGTACATGGAGTGCTCTGGGATTTGGAAGATCTTTTACCGGTGGTTGAAAAGGGGTTTGACCGGCATCAGAGGCACAGATCACACACATGGAGTGTCCCAGGATAGAGAAGATCATAAATGAAAATGGTTGTTTTTTTCCTGTCGGTTTTAGAAGCTATTAGTAACAAAGCGCATCGCTGCGAAAGGAGCAAGGACGCTACGAATGCAGCTCCTGGCCTTACTACTAGGAACAAGAAGCTACTAGTAACAAAGGCCTTGGGGGTGATTCCTTCGATCCTCGCATTGAGCCATGCGGCTTCACTGCTGCAAAAAGCTGGTTATCACTGGTTCTCCACATACCCTGGCCAATACAGGGTAGTTGGCACAAAGCTAGGTTCTTCCATATGCCATCTGATTCTGATTGACTATAAGTCTTTGCCAAAATTCAATGAAGTCTCATTCCCAAATGCATGGCAGTAACTTTCTCAGACCGGGGTAGCCCGGTAGGTAGGACGAAAGGCACGCCCCCAACAATCACCGACCATCAACCCTGACGCCATAAAAGCGGTTTCAAGCTGTTTTACTGTTTCTGTTGAACAGAATGGAAGGAACATTTTGGTGAACTTCTGTCGTCAGGCGTCAAAGCCTGCTGTCCAGCAAGTCTTTGCCCAGTGCAATGCTGAAAGATGCGCCTTATTCGAATCCAATCGACAACTTGGGATCTTCGACAACTTGGGATCTTTTCTTTTGAAGCGAGCTGCAACGCCAAGTAGGTACCGGTACCACATGTTTGTCCAACTGCCAACTGGTATCACAATGTATCACATAGCACGTTGAAAAAACAGCTCGTCATGATGGCTGGAGCCTTGGACACCCCAAAACATTCAAGCTTCTGACAGCCTGTTCTGGCCTGGTCAAGAGCGAATGCCTTGAGGGAAGGCCTCTCGCACGAGAAGTGACAACGTGGCGACACAAGTCAGAGAGAGTAGTAAGGCCAGAGCTACTAGTAGCTTCTTGTTACTAGTAGTAAGAATGCTACTAGTAGTACGGCCAGGAGCCTCCAATAGCGTCCTTGCTCCTAGTAGCTTAGGCTACTCTGGTGAACCTGACGGAGCACAACGAAATTTGTGTGGTTTACCCAGAACTTCCGTGACTTGACTCATATATCACTCCAACTGGTAGTCAATCCATCCACCACTACCATAGGAATAAGATATATAGATATATACTAAAATGAGTCATGACTGGACTCTGAGGGTTATGATTTATTCACCAAATTCGGTATACTTCACTATTATCCATGGCATGTTTTCGACAGTCTTTCTCCTCGAATAATTGTTTCCTTCCTGTCTAACACGCACACAGATCGATTCGTCGAATCTAGTGATTGGCGCCAGGTGCTGCGCAAGAGTTCCTCATCGGATGGTTCACACAGAACAGACTGTGATGCAGTCAATTGGGAATGCAATGGGTCAAAACCTGAACCCCACCGGCTTCCACCCTCTGCCGCGAAGCACCCCCCACCGGTCGGATCCGGTCGGATCCGGTATTCGGTCTCGGATCAAACTCACCTAACCCACCCCACTAGACTTCAACCACTGCTGCGCACGCAGGTTCTTCGCACCCACGACTCACCGCACAGCCCACGGCCTTGGAAGCTCCAGCGCTTCCATCTCGGCAGCTTGGTCGAAGAGCCTCAAGCGGTTCACACCTTGGTCGTCGCAAAAGAACTCCACCTTTTGGGCAAACGTAGTTTGTTGGGGAGACTGTTGGATTCAAGGAATTGTTTGGGTCACCAGTTCTTCAAACAAGAGCTTTTTGTTTCATTTGGAAGTTCTAAGAAGCTACGAACGTAGCAAAGGGCATTACGAGAGGAACAAGAGTATAGCTTGGGTCTCTTAACCAATACCTGAGGGTGTTCGTGGATGATGGTTCGTTTCTAGCAGGCCGACAGTTGCAGGCCATAGTGATTCGTTTGTGACACCGGGTCCGTTCGGACCAACCCATCGAATCACGAACGGAACCGGTCCCCCAGACGAGGTGTCCGAGGTGTCCGAGGTGTTTGCGAGGTGTTTGCCACTCTCCGGTGGCCGCGACCGGTGATGGGTAAAAACCATTTGTAATATACATAAAATATCATAAAATATCCCATATGATGAACCGTAATAAACCATAATAGAGAGTTTAATATGGTTTATATAATTGTTTATGAAAGATTTTGTTTAATTCAATAAACCATAATAAACCTACTAGCGATAGCCTCCAACCTACTAGCGATGGCCTCCAACCTGAAAGAGTTTTCATCATGTCGAATTGGCATCCTTTTGAAACACCTCCACTCTCCGACGTTCTCCAGAAGGAACTGATCCCGAACACGACCAACACCAGCGACCTCCGGTGCCGTCCAGCGGACAACGGACGACCGGACTACGGTGACCAACGCGTGGACTCTAAGAGTCCAGTAGATGGCACAAATCCCAAGATGTCCTTTACCACCAAACACCAAGAGGTGTCTACTATGTCTACAGATAGCCTCCTGGGCGTGAGTTGGGGTGTCCAAAAACCACTTAAGGTCCTGATTCAGTTCCTGGTAGATGGGGGACTACATAAACCACCAAAACTTGTGGATTGTGCCATCTACTCCGAGACCACAGTAGATGAACACGTGCTGATATTTCTTTTTTGGCCAACTATGCAATGGCAAAAGCTGCCTCAAAGGAAACCGAAGGACATTCGTTTCCACCGGCATCTCCTCCAATTTAATCCCGCGTTGCAGACCCACCACGGACGTCTCTCGCCCACCAGGGGAGAACCCCGCTGGAAATGGTCGACCTCCAGGGTTCTTGGAGGAGACTCTCAACCACTCGTAAGCGAAAGAGAGCGAACGGGTGAGCGAACGAGCGAGGGAGTGAGTGAGTTTGACAAGAGTCGACGTCAAGCGACCACGGAGTCGTGGTTCTCCGAGGCGCAAAGTGAAAGAGTGCCCACTTGTGGCTTCTGCTGATTCCTGGCCGGTCTCCCGACTTACGAATCCGGTTTGGGGCTCTGATCCGTGGCCATTGGCGGCGAGTGTTCAAACACTAGTAGCCACCGGGAGACCGCTACCCAGTCCTGTGGGGGCCTCCCAGTCGCGTGCTTTGCTGTTAGATCTATGGCTGCTAAGGGGAAGAGTGCCCAGGATATGCTCAGGTATGCGTACCAATTCTTTGGGGGAGGAGAAACCTCGAATGAAACACGGCATTTCCTTTACTTCGGTGGCATGACCACACGACGCCCGATCGGATCGGCAGCTCTGAGTCTCACATCGAATTGTCACACCAGGCCTAGTCTGCAAAGGCCAACAGATTTCACACCAGCACCCGACTTGAAAAAGGTCTCCGAAATGGAGGCTTTTGCTAACTGAAAGGTCACAGGTGGTAACCTGTGAAGTTGGGTGCTGATTTGGAGGACCTGTGAAGGAGGATCCTTCATATCAGGACCCTCCTGTCGGGGTGTCTGAACTACCTTACACTACCTCTAGGCTTCCAGTCAGGGCAACCCCTAAGGGCGTCTATGCCAGACTGGGACACGTCGGAGGCTCCTTTGACCCAGGAGAGTGGTCGTCCGGAGCTTCGAGGAATCCGTCGTCGCTCGTCGCCACCACGGGGTGGGCGACGGCAGAAGAACCGTTTCCGACCGCCAAAACGTCGCAGTGAAGTGTGTCTCCATGTGTCTCCATTCAATAACCTAGGCAAGTGCAAACTGGACATGTTTTTTATTTTTTTACAAATATTTTTTTCCATCACAAAAACCACATCACCAGTTTCGACATCCTTCGCCCATATGTCTATCACCATCAGCGACAACCCTCCCACCTCCTCTTGCTCCAGTATTGGGGTTTTCAATAGGAAGCACCCCCAAACACTCGGTCAAAGAAGCAGCATGGACCACCCATTGGTTGGTCTCTCTGTCTAAACACATCTCACATCAAACACTAATTAGTAGTCACCGGGATCAAACTCATCCCACGTAAAGTGTTAAAAACAACACCAACAGATCCCCACCACTTAAGACATAAATGATTATAGACCTCATGAATCCTGATGACCTGTATACATGGACGTTTTCACCGCCACTTATATAGACGTTTTTCAGGGGAAGAACCAAATGACCATGACCTTCACCTTCCCCCGAGCTCTCCAGCCCCGCCATCCAGTGACCCCACACCGAGGTCAGCCGAGGCAAACGGGTCCCGGGACGAGGCCGGTGCGTGCGTGAACCGAAAAACGTCGGCATTAGATGGGTCAGGAATGCATCTAGTCATAGATGTAGCAACTGAGTGATCAGTTGGGCTGAAAACAACCTGACCCATCTGATGAGTTTCATGAAAAAACCTGACCCATCTGCAGGCCAACACTCACTCGCTCTAGAGACTGGACATAGAGAAACCCATGCTGTTTTGCCCTCGTTCGCCTTCCGTCGTCCCCCCATCCCAGCACCGACCTGGGAGCCCAAGAAATGCCCAAGTGCAGCTCGCCCACGCGGCACGCGGCCTCAGAAACACCGGTGTGGCCCAAAGCAGCGGTGCGGTGACAGCGCCCGGAAGTCGAGGAGCAGGAGGGAAGGACAGGTTCCTTTTTGCTTTATGGAAGGAGGGAAGGACCAGGGTTTAGGACTGTGACCAGGGCGTTCGAACTTCAAGCTGGAAAAGGTGAAACAATACACCATATTAATATGCACACTTTTTTACATTTTGAGAAGTCCTCCCAAAGCCAGGGTCTTTGATGCCCCCCATGTCTTTGTGTCTAGGGCTCAGGAATGTTCAGGTGTCTTCTGGTCCAAAGCGGGCTTTGCTCTCCTTCGTTGCGCGGTGTCCTGTAGACAGCATACAGATGCCCTGGTCTGTCTGCTGTTGCTATGGTCACTGGCTGTGGCAGCCAGTGACCATAGCAACAAGTATATAGACCCCCTAAAGAGAATCAACCGGCAGCGGCGGAGCGGCGACCAAGGGGAACACCCGAACTCTTGCTTCACCCCACTGAAGTTGCAAAACTGCCCGCAGAAGCTCTTCTTTAAAAGAAGCAGTCCGATGGCCTGCTGGGTATATGACAGGAGAGAGCAGCGGAGGAACATGGGGTGTGAGCGAGTTGGCAGGAGAAAACGGAGAAGGTCGAGAGTCGAGCCGAGAACAAGTTAAAAAATCACACACATGTTCGCATGTGGGGAAACTGCACTAGTGGAAAAAACCACTCAGTTAGGTTGTAAAGCTTCTTCATCTGACTTATAAAGGATTTTGATTAATTAGTCAACATGAAGTCGACAAACATGACTCAAACCTGCAGGTACCAGTGGGCCCCCCGTTTTTGGGAGCCGTCCTTCGCCGTCGGCCGACGACCGACCCACCCAAACAGAGCCGCTCTGCCAAGCGACCGCAGGGTCACGGGAGCTCCAAACCACAAAGGGCAGGCCTGGACGTGGTGAAACGAACGAAGCGCCATCCGGCGGAATCCAGACTATATACGTTGATCCCGACTTCCACCACCCCTGGCCTGCACGGCATATAGAATACCATTCCCATGGATGGTCTGGGCCATCCTTCCACTCATGTCCGGTTCGTTTCCATGTGGCGATCCCAGACCGTCGCCGGTCCACCGTCCAGATCAGTTGAGAACAACTCGGTCATATGGCAAAGGTGTGTCCCCCCCTCGCAGTTTTGTCAATACCAAAACCCTATAGAAGTCCAGTTCGACTATTCTTTTCCTGCAGTAAAGGACATTTCCGAAATCAGGTACCTTAGTCGAGACATAGTCAGACCATTCTTTTTGGTATTTTATCGTCTTTGACTCCCAGGAAAAAGGGAACCTTTTGATTGGGATCTTTCTTTCGATAGCGTATCTGTCCGTCTATACTCTTCATAGCGTCCTGACGCTGCGTTCGTTGAAGCGAAGTGTGACGCGTTCGTTGGTATTCTTCGTGGCGAAGAGTCTTACTAGTAGTAACAAGTGCCTTACTAGTAGTAACAGGTGCCTTACTAGTAGTGACAAGAAGCTATTACTAACAAGTGCCTATTCTCCTTACGAGTAGATAGGTTTCTGGTGGTGCCTGAGGAGGTTCAGGTCTACATAGTTGCCTTTGAGCAACTATATCTCATCTGTGAGCAAACATTTATTAAACATGTATTTACTTCCAAAGAGTAAAGAATTGGGTGGGAAAACAAAATTGAGAAACAAAGCCAAAAGAACCAAGGATTTCTCGGAAATGAGTAATCTAGCAATCACACCCGTCCCTAAACAAGGTCACGCCTTGGTTCTAGCCCGATGTTTTTGTGTGCGGCCGGGGTTTGTGTGCTTGATGTTTTTGGGAACAAATGTCTTGTTTCCTCTGGCGCTTGGACATGTGCTGCACCTCTACCGTTTATGAACAAATCCAGCACTACGGAGGACCGGGGTGTCCATTCATAGCCCCAAGAGGTCATTGGTGTCCAACTGCCCCGATGGCCTCCAACCTAAGATCACCTGATCTTCAGCAGCACCCTGTTCGGATGGTTGATGGGACCATTCTTGACGACGTATTTTCATGTATATATACTCTTGATTAATAGACCCCCCCCATTTGAATGCGCGCACGAACGCGGACCGTCAGAGACGAGCGCACCCACTCTTCCCCTTCCCAGGCTGTCTGGGGGGTGAAGGAACATCCTCTTGCAAGGGAGGGTTTATGAAGCGGATGTTCATCCTAGTAGTAACAAGTGCCTTACTAGTAGTAACAAGGACGCTACTAGGAAGAAGTGCATCGCTTCTAGTAACAAGTGCCTTACTAGTAGTAACAAGGACGCTACGAACGGAGCATCGCTACAAGGACATCCTGGATGTCCATCCACGTCCAAAGCATCCCATCCACCACTGGCATCTTCTGGCGTCTTCCATGCACGGGAGGCCGAACCTCGCCGTCGGAGCTCCTCGTTGTCCAGGCACTTCAGGCTGGTGAAGGGCCAAAGCGAGCGCACGCAGACGTAGCCCGCCCTCGGAAGCTGGGGCCCGGTGTCTTTGTGCTGAGACTATCGCGATTGGGTCGGGGTGGGGTGAGGCATTGGAAGAAACTCCATCGCCAAACACCATGGAATAACCTATGGAGGCTTCAAGCAACGCAAATATGTCGACGCATCATTGATTTTCCATTTTTGCCATCAATGTTTCACGATGATGAACATTCATACCCTGAGGCACTTCATTCTATAAAGAACATGTTTCCAGCACTGCAGGTCGATACTTGATTCTATGGTATGGCAAACTGCTCTCGGAGCCTGGCGTTTCATCTTATCACTGTAAAATCAAGTCTCAAGGTACACCGGAAATCCCACAAGGGATCCCCCAAAAATGGAGTTGCAGTTGTTCCTGGACAGGGTGGGACGATGCCTAGCCCGAGACGGAAGCCTTGTGTTATATAAATGCCCACTCCACAAAACCACCCGTGTAGTTGTACCTCTTTGTGGGGTTGTCATTTCATAAGTTGGGGCGCAAACCAAACCCCAGGCCAACTATGCCAAAAAATGGTCAACCATGGAAGAGAAAAAGTTACCCCTTCCGGTGGTAATTTTTTGCCGTTGCCGGTGCATTATTTTTCTTGATTGTGCTTGCCAATTATACAGAGTGGTCGTTCTGTGACATTTTGTCATGTTCTCTGTACACTGCACGTTCTTTGTCAAGTTCTCCGCGCTGTTCTGTCACCTTTTGTTTTGCTTTGGGGCCTTAGGAAACCATTAGCACACCATCTCTGTACCTCTTTGCGGGGTTGTGTCATTTATAACCCGGTTTGGCCCCTAATTTGGCCTGGCTCAATCTCCTGACGCAACCCGACATTGGCCCTGGCGTGGCCTGTGTCTAGACAAACCATTCCCTTGTGTTCGAGTTGTCATACTGTTTCAAACAAGATGCACCCGCCCCGCCCCGCCATCATATCTGGAGACCAGCCCAGCAATGTATTTACAAAACACTAGGTTGAAGTCCTTAAGAGATTATCATTGTATAAACAGGTTTGTGTCGCATTTTATGGGCAGTTCACCCTGGTCCGACCCTTCTATTAACGGCCATGTTTACAATGGATAACCGGTATTTCCACATTTCAGTTACCTTTCTACGCTTACCACACGAATCTGACACCTCATGTTTCCATCCAAAATCTCCAAAAATTTCCCCCACTGTCAGCGCCATAGCGACCTACTGCGAACCGATGCGGACGGCTGCGCTAGGTCGAGCGAACACAGTCTTGCCCCCTGGACCGCCAAATCAATCGGGAACCCGTGCTACGCATTCGGGAAAAAGAGAAGCGGCAGAAGCTAGATAAGGCACGCTATATATTAAACAAATTTAAATGTGGAATAAGGACTTGCAATTGAAAGGGTGCTGGATTAGAAGTATGAGAAGGAGAACTCATTCCAGCGCCCTTTCCCAAGTCTTTCGGGACAAAAGGAAAACGGGTCAACGGCTTTCAGCTTTCATTGTTCTTCGTACTTAAGGGCACGCCATGTTCAGAGGAGACGTGCTCAATAGTTCTATATGTTGTTCTATCACGTTCTATCTAGTTGGGAGACTCTTGTACAGTTTCAAGATCTGAGAGCAAAACGCGGGTCTTGGTCACATGCGAGTGGGCACGTAAATTGAGTGCTGATGAAGTCATTTGGTCCACAGCACCCGAAACACTCCAACCCCAGAGTTCCTGGCCCATGAGTGATTTACCTGACCTGCAAGGAAAATAGAAGTGGAGCGCATCCTGAGCCTGTTTGTATTTTTGAATTGTCTTTCCAGGGAGGGAGGGGTAATTAGGAATCGTCCTGAACAAACCGTGTTTTCATTAAGGATTTCAGCCGACAAAACCAGATCAACCCTTTTTGAAGGGTTGAATCTGGTCGAATGGTTGGGGATGTTATTTGCCCAATCTAATCTCAGGAAGTAACCAACAGTTCGGCGATTTCCTTTTGCAGTGTTTGCCACCCCAAAAGTCACAGGATCTTTCCACGTTCCCCCCGCAAGTTCCGATTCTTAGCCAAGGTTGGTCTTGATTCTACATAGAACTGTGGGGACATATGAAGGTTGATTTTTTATTTTAGAAGCATGTTGGGCAACATTTGCCCAAGAGGTTGGTCTTGGTTTGATGGAGAAGTGTGGGATCATATGAAGGTTGAAATCGTTTTTTAGAAAATGTTGGACGCAAGTGGCTGGTTTTGATTCTATAGAGAAGTGTGGGGACATATGAAGGTTGAAATTGAGTTTAGAAAATCTTGCACACACGTGGGCCAAGACCTCACAGCGCACCATCCACTCTAAAATCAGTTCTCAACCTTCGATTACTCGAAACTCGAAATGCTTTCTATAGAGCCAAATGTTAGGACCTCTATAAAATCTGGTGACATGGTGAGTCCCCTCTATAGAATCAAATGTCGGCACCCTGTTGAAAGAACAAGCTGACTTTTTGGACCCCATGTTTAAAGTGCGGTGGTCTTTCAGATAGGTATAGATAGGTTGGTATTTGATTCTACAAGAAAATTGTCGACAAAATCTGAAGGTCATTTTGAGCTCAAGCTCCCAGGTTCTATATGATTCCGGCAGGGAAACTTTGAGGTGTGTTCGGGTGATTTGGGGCAATTGGTCAACCCCCAGCCAGTTTCCTATTGTGACCCTCTTTCCAGGCTGCGCGGAGCACCTTTATTTTTTTGCACTGTCTGCGCCGGCCACTTTCCGTGTTCTCGAGTTCAACGTTGAAAACAGAAAGCACCTGTCCAGAATCAAGCGCGCAAAGCGCCCACGATCAACGCCGGAACAAATGATGCAGTTGTTGGGGAGGTACTTGGCCAACTTGATGTCCGGAAGGGGCATGGCTTTCTGGACTTAAGAGATCGCAGTCGCGGGTACCGCCAAGCAGCGTAAGCCCCCGAGCTGGACCGCCCCGTCCAGGACAATGTGGCACTCGCCGGCCTCATTCAATTTCCAACTTCCATCTGCCCAGAAAGACACCAGGTACGTCTTCGGCGCTGCCCGTCTTCGGTGCCACGCCCCATCAGCTCCCCCGACTCCATTACCTGCACCAAGCGATCGCGATTCCCGCGGTTGGCTGCCACCAGCTGAAATCGAAGATGGAAGTGGATGGCACCAGCAGAGGAAAATTGCGTTTACATACGTGCATGTTCCACTTCCGGGCTAGTAGGGAAAGCAATCAATAACTTACTAGGGATGGATCGACCTCGGGGTCATCTTCGGGCGGCTCTTCTTCGGGGTGCTCCTCAACCACCCCACCCGCGCCACCATCCGCCCAGTGAGGCGTTGGATCATGTCCAGGGGCATTTGGCTGTTGACCAAATTGTGTAGGCAAAGATGAATCAGCCTGGAGCGTCGGAACGGGTGTTCTGATGGTACTTGGTTCCGATGAGGGCCCTCTGCTTAGCTTTGGCAGCTGAGTCTGTCAAAGTCCAATGGACTGGCCATTGTCTATCTCTTGGGATGCTGATGAGATCTGTGCGTCGCCCTGATGAGGTCATTTGCCTCAATGTGTTCCTTTCAAGCTGCGATCGTTTCACGGTTATCCGGACTTTGGACCATTTGTCTTTAGGTTTCCCTTCAAATCCTTCACGCATAGCCTTCGTCTGGAACCTTGTCATTTCAAGGAATTCATCTTTGGATGGATCTTCCTCCTGGTTGAAGTCTTCTGGTCGGGCTTCAAGTACTTCGCCAAGCTTCGCGGCATATAGGTAGGCGTGCCACGCATGCCTCGCGAGGCAAACGTCATGCTTCTTCAGCAAAAGGAGGATGTTGACAATCTGCTCAGGTGTGAAGCCTGGTCTCGTCTTTGCATTGCATTCGCCGACGAGGTACATAGCTTCTTTTTCGTCTTTTTTGACGAGGTTGTCACTGTCAACGGCGAGCTCAAGGTTCCTTTCACATGCTAAGTATATCCTCAAAATGCACTAGAAGAGTCGTCCAAAAACGACCTCCTTTCAGACCTCCCAAGTCCTTTCACTCACCCGACATCAGCCGGGTCTCGTGACTCCCGTAATGATACTAAGATACTAGCGATGACCTCCAACCTACAAGAGATGGCCTCTCCGCTGGTGTATAAAGCCCCAGAGAACCCGGTCCCCAGGCAAAGTGACCAAGGGCTCCAGGTGTTGACCCATCTCCAAATGCAGTTGGTAGAGGAAAAAGCACATGTTTACACAATTGTATACAATGATTCGACCAGGTTTCCATTTTGGCTAAGTGACATGTTCCACTGCATACGCACTTTGTGCTTTATAAAGTTTGGGGTTGGAAACTGGATTCTTCTTGGAGGAAAAGGATAACACTTTTATAGTGACATAGTCAACCTGCATGTGTGGAGGATGATTTTGCTGCGCAGGCGTAGGGTTTTGTGAAACCCTCAGTTGCCTTCGCTGTAACAGCGGGATTGGTGTTCGCAGGGTGGTATGTTGGAGGCGTTAGATGTGGCTGCGTCGAAGCTGTGTCTTTTCATGACACGTCTCAGCTAAAATGGCGAAGGATTTTGGTGGATGTGAGTGTGCTGATGGTGCACGTGCTGATGTTCTCATTCCAAACGTGCTGATCTGGTGCACGGTGCACGTTCGCCTTCAGTAGCGTCACGGCGTCGAAGTGGAATTCTGAGGGGGGGGAACGGCGCGTTGAAGGAGGGAAGGTCGACGTTTGGAGGGGCTGGGATTGCGAAGCGCAGGGCTGCTTGATGTCGTGATGAGACCCACTGAACACAATTCGTCAGGATGTCTTGCATGGGTTTTCGATGGTTTTCGAGACTTGACGGGGCGAGTTTCGTCTCGTGGGAAACGCTCGGAAGGTTGGCAAAATGATGCAAAATGCGAGGTCAGTGATGCTGTCCGCAAACGGAATCCTTGACACTGAACACAATCGGAAGCAACAAAAAGACCTCCGCGTGAGCGCTATGCTCGAGATCCTCAGCGCCAAACCAGAGAGCACCGAGGGCGAAAAACGCCCACGGCGTACTGCGCCTTCTTCTTGTTCGGTTGCACCCACATTGGGATCTAGTTTCGGACACCGGGTACCCACAGCTGTGCGACAGAACGACCCACAGCTTGAGGGCACGGCAAAAGGCCATAGTCGTTGGCCCAAACCTGGAGCGAGTTGGGCGAGTGTTTAGCTGGTGAGTCGTGGCAAAGGGGTTCGAAAAACAGATGTTGAGCAGCCCTTGAGGACGGCCACATTTGAGAACAATCGACCGATGCGCTCTTCCGCCATCGTGTCGTGCATCACCAGTCGCCCGGTCCCCGCACGAACCAGGTCCCTTTGAAGGCCCAAACGCTGATTCTCCGAGGTTTCGAGCCATGGGATTGATTACATCGAACGTACCGATACGACGAACCGGAACACCGAACCGACGAACCGGTGTTCCCGTACCGATGACTCGCGATCTCGGTTGGTGAGTTTGAAATCCCTGGAGTGACTGGACCTCTCAGTTTTGAAGCCACATGAGTCCAACCCTTCCAACCGTTCCAGGCTGCACTGCCTCGATCTCCAGCACTGCAGGGCTCTTGGAGGGCGGCAGTGTCACACAGGCCTCGTGAGACACAGAGCGATGCTTCGAAGAGGGATATACCCTAAGTCCCTTGTAAACATGGCCATCCACCAACATACTCATCCACCATGAAGACTTGATTTCCATATATACCATAATTGTGCTGCCCAACGCCATCTCTTTCCGGTCGACGTCCGGTCGGTCTCTGTCGCACGGGCCCCCCGTTGGTGGGCGTACAGCGCCGGGTGAAACCGACTCATCGACCGTATCCTCTCTTGAGTTGCATGGTGGCCACCGCCGAACTTGACGTCGTCAGCTTCTACGACCGGTCTCACGACCTTTTTGTATGGGATATTTGGGCTCATTTCCATGTAGGCAAATATGTCCTACAGAGATCCTTGGGGAATGGGATCCCGAAGTATCCAAATCCATTTTGGCTGTATTTCATCTCCGGGAAGACGCCGATGATCCGTCACGGCACGGACCGCCACGGTCTGACATCTTACGGTCCAAACCATTTGATGTTTGCTCCCTGCAGGACCTCTCCAACGCTCCAGGGCAGTGACCGTTTCCATGAATCCGCTTCGATTGGTCCTGGACCCTGAGGGGACACCCTTTGTCACTTGGATTTAGATGAGTGGTATTTGTTGAATCATTTAGTTGGTATGGATGTCATCCTAAATCATCTTAATTTAACAACTGAACAACCACAATTTCATGTCATCTCTTGGGCTTGGAAAGCAACTCCCCTGGACCGCCCATTTCTTTTGGGTTCCGGCCCGTTTCGCCCGCGGGTGGGTCCCCCAACCGGACCCGCTGCGGCCGCTGCCTGCGACGTTTCGTTTCGTCCGTCCGTGGGGGGTTTTGGGGGTCGAACTTAGCAGATTCCTTCGGTTTCATGAGATTTCATCCCGGTTCCATGTGGTCCATTTGCGACTTGGGGTGTTCTTTCCAACAAAGGTTGAAGAACCCTAGATCGACTATCCCAGTTGGGGAATTTAGGTGAGACGGCCCTTGGACACTCTCGGTGGAGCCCACTACTACTAGTAGGTTGGAGGCCACTACTATTAGTCCCTATGAACCACCGCCACCGAACCTGAGGTACGGTCATTGGAGACGAGACTTATGTAGGCGCTAGGAGGGTCCAATTACCTTCTGAGGCAGGTATGTGGATCCATAGGGCATGATATTTCATCTATAATGTTGACTCTTGATTAGTAATACCCCCCCCTCTAACAATTGAGACTCCTGATTAATGTTCACTATGAAGCAGCATTTTAATGGTCTGGAAACAAACATGAACACCTCAATGAGATTTGTGAACAAAAAACACATTCATTTTGACAACATACTGGTGCGCTGGATGGGTTTACTCGTTGATGTCTTTTCTCGTTCTCAAGCTGTTGAATGATGCTGAACTGTTGTGTGAGTCCTTTCTGAGTCCACATCCTGACAGAGCTGACAAGGCCATTAAACTCGATCTCAACGATTTTTTTGGCTTTGCAATGACCATTCCTAACCTGAAGAAGCCATTGGGTTCCTCCCTGTAGATGAACATGCGAAGCCCAAGGGCGACCCACTGACTTTGGTACGAAGTGGCAGTGGGAGAATTGGATCGTTGAGTGCTACATGTGCTATAGAGCGTTTTGATGGCGGAAGGCAACCACCCAACGGTGGGGTGTGTGCACCGAAGCTGCTTGGGTGCGGCAGCTCCTATGCTTGCTTGATGGGGAAACCAATCTCAACAAGGTTTTGCAGGTTTCTAGGCCTCCTCATTGGTGGAGGCCATTGCCCTTAGGTTGGAGACCGCTCTCAGGCCTCTTCATCTTGTGGCTCGGCCAGACCTTGAGCTGCACGGCTGATGGGGATCCTGGCGTAACACCGGGGATCCAAGGGGGCGTTGCCAAGGGAAAACGTCGAGAACCTCCTGACTGTCATGAGAACGCCCCGTCCAACTCGGAAAAACGGTGTCGGATCGACGGTCTTAGTTTGGAGATGAATTTGCAAATACTGATCGAATCCGATCTGTTGGGGTCACTGTTCGATAGGTGGGAGATGGTAAGTATCTCAGTAACGATGAAGGAATGAAGGGAACATCCAAAATGTTGATGCTGGTACATAGTTGCTGATGATGCCCATTTGGGTGGGTGCGAAGTTCACACAGGGTAGGAAGTTTGGGGATGGCATCCCCGATTCAAAGAGCATTAAAGTAATTGGAATTGGATGCTTGGAACAAATTTATGCTGAAGGAGCTGCCAAGTCATAAAAGCCGACGATATTGGAAGAAATTCTGTACTATACCAACTGCCAAATGATGGGTTATGAATAGGACATGGTCTATCTCAGGTAATGGAGGATTTCTTCCTTCATAGATCCGTGAGAAGTGGGCTATGCCCAGTTGTTGGTGTAGATCCATGAACCTTCCCACGGTACAGGGACGTGATGTGGGTCAAAACGGTGGAACCCTGTTTGACCAGCAAACACGAAGATATAACTGCTATAGGATCTACTAGGCTACTGGCTCAACCTCACCGGATGAAACGTGCTCCGGGTTTGGTCGCCGCACAGCAGGATCTGAAGCCGGTTTGGGGGTTGGATCCGAAGCACCGGGGGGTTTGGGGACCGGGATAGGTCACGTTTGGCCAAGTCATTTGACGCCAAGTCATTCGACGATCGGAAAGCACCCCTCCGGCGATAGTTGAACGCTCCACGTCCCAAGACCACGTTCGCGGCCTCTTAGGCCATGCAAGGCCCAAAAACAGCGTGGAACGTGGAGGGCAGGGGGACCGTTCCCAAAAACGACGACATGTATGACCTTTCCGTTTCACGACCTTGTCGCGAAGTCTGACGAGGTCTTGATCTAGCACCCCAGACCCGAAGAAGAGATGTCTGAGGACGAATCCTCTGAATCCTTTGCAGGTCCGTCTCAAAGTTCCCCGAAGTTGGTCGGACCAGTCGACCAGTCGACCAGTCGATCTGGAGGGTCTGGGCAGAAAGACCCTTCGCCCACTTTCCCGCGGCGGCCGTGCAAGAGGAACCACCGCGGTTCGGTTACGGCCGGATTCGCGTAGCCATTGGGAGAACCATTCCCCTCAACACCGCGCCTCCGACCCAAAGAGGAGTCTCAGACCGAAGAAAAACGGAGAAAGACATGTCATACCAGGAGCGAAACAAACCAAATGGGGATAGAAAGAACATGTGCAAAGCATTTTCACCCACAGAACTGCGCTAACAGCCGCTAGCACCGATCTGAACAAAACGGCGGGAAGGTCAACACTTTGGAGAAGCTCGTGCCTGTGAGGAAGCTCGGGTAAGGGCCTGACGCAACGAGGATTCTGCGGGCGTTTTGGTCACGGGGGAACTCTTCAAGCTCTGTCGATCACGGATCGACGCACGCGGCTAGTCGACCTGAGGACCTCCCGCGTGTGTGTGCCACGCGTTTTGGAGCTCGTCTTTTTTTCGGGGGCGAAAGAAAAAGGGAATTCATGAATCCAACTCTTGAGGTGTTCGAGAATGACAGGTGTTTGAGCTTGGAATATATTATATTATATATAGATCCAATCCTGGAGAAACATCCAGCCACATTTCAAAATTGCTGTACCTGAGTCATTCTGCTCCGAGTCGTTTGTGACTCCAAATCTTCTCACGTGGGGAGCCCCTGGACGGTCCCCTACAACAGACGACCAGCACCCCGGCAGACTTTTCATGGACCCCGGCAGACCCATGTCTTTGTGGCTTCGACGTTCATCCATTGTCCCCCTACCAACCTCGTTTTTTTTTTTTCCGTCCCTCCATGTAGTCCTCTGCAGGGGGGACCAAAAAAGACCCCCCCAAAACGGTGGGTTTCTGGACTCCTTACCCGCACGGTGGAGTGGAGAACTCGTTCTCCGACCTGTATGAGATCCGAGTCGGAATGAGATCCGCCCTGCCATCGACCGTTTGGGGTCGGTCCATCCTGCCCAGGAGGATGGGACCTGGTTTCAGGCCAACATCCACATCTAAATACTGGTGAGATATTCTTGTTGTCTTCTTGTTGACCCTGAACCGGCTCTAAAGGTTGACTGGGACCCTCTCCCCCAATTCTTCCAGGCAGTGTATATGTCTATATAACAGTCGGATGCTTAAGAAACCAATCCATTGAGGTTCCAAGCAGCAACCGGCGTCCCGTCCGAACCCCCCAGAACCTGAACTGGGGCTCATCCGTGGACGGATTAGTCCAGCTGCCTTGGTGGAACCTGAAGGGGTTCATTCAGAGAGGTTTCTTAATACTCCAGGGCTACAATCTGCAGATCTGAAGTCTTCAGTTGGTCTGTCTTCTTTTCAAGTAGTCAAAAACCTGAACTTTTTTTCTTCCAAACACCCAACTTCCTTGAAGGACTCATACTTCTGCAGGCCTGAGTGGACTGACCTGACCTGAGTGGAGTGACCATATGCTGATCCTTCACAAGACTGCTTCGAGGTGCGGATCCCAAACGAGGTGCGGATCTACTCCACCGAGTTGCGCCGCACAAACCTCAACGGCCAACCGAGGATCTTCTGAACAAAAACATCCATCCGTCATCCGTCCTTGAATCAAAGCTATCCAAATTAAACATGAACCCGCCCTAGAAGTCCAAAGACTATATTCTTGGGACAAATAAAGATCATTCCTTAACTCAAGTCCACCTCGTCAGACCTGTGGCAACCGTTTTCTGTTCTGGACTCCCCAAACATGACACCGATCCCTTTCAGTGTCCTGGCGCCAGGGTCTTCGCTTTCAGCCGAGTCTTCGCCTCTTGGTCTCTCCCGTCTCACCACCCACGCGCGCCGCCCCCGCGCCGCGGTGGCCTAGGCGCATCGGCGAAGAGCTCGAAGAGCGCCGTGGCCTTCTGCGCCGCGGTGCCTGGTGAAACGAGCGCCGGTGGTGCCGGTGCGGAGGCGCTGTTCGGGCGGCTTTTCGGCAGGAACGCAGGGAGAACCGTTGTACGAACAGGGGGAAACCACTGGGGAAACCTGATGAATTTGGGGTGGTTTTGGAATGGCGCTCGTCCATTCTGTTCATTTTGGGTCAACCCAGGTAGCCATGGAACTTTGACGCACAGCCCGCCACTTTGTTCCATGGACTTCACTGACCTCACAACGATCCGATCTTCCACCTACGCACTTCTCATCACTTCTCCCAGTGCGAAGGTGGAGAATGTGGCTGCATTCGATGATTCCAATATGAGTTGAAGCCAACACCCGCAAAAGCTCCAAAGCCAAGGATGCCCGGGTGCGAATCCCACCGCAGCGGTGTACGAAGTGATGTGACAGGTACGCCGCTCATCCGCTCTTTGCTCATTTCCGCTCATCTGCTCCAGTTTCCAACGAAAAAACACACGCAAAAGTCCCAGTACCGCCCACCTCGTGCACAGCAAATGAGTACCATGATGAACCTGAGTGTCTCAGCGAATGGCCGAGAGGCCCCGTGGTTAGCGAACAGGGGGAGGGGCAGCATACACGATACTCCAATGCGAAGAGGATGACCGAAGTTTTCACCATGGACAAGCTACAACCACTAGTGATCCTCTGAGGGCCTCCAACTTGCATCTTTAATTCTGAGTCTGCCTTTTAGCACAAACACTTACCTTGGAACTACCCCCCTTGAACACAACCAAGGCTAGGTAGAACACATGTCTAGCCTGATTGCTTGTGCGCTGGTTGCTGATCATTTCAACCCTCCGCTGATCCTTGTGTGACTACTGGCGTGGTTTATATAGTTCTTGCAAACAAAAGGCCCATGCCCTCCTGCCAACCCAACAAAAAATCACACCCACATCACACACACACACAATGTTTCGCCATGTTGCAGATGTTGGAGGGAATTATCTTGTAGATGTGAATGGGGCCACCCCAAAAATTCTCTTCTCTCCATAGATTGTCATCTATGTTTGTCAATCCCACTTCGACCCACCCTGCGCTCTGGCTATCCGGATCTTTACAGACAGGGCAAAATGTTCATAGACTTACAGGTTCTTGATGCAACGACTGGAGCTGGTGCAAAGAATGAGCTGGTGTGCAATCCTCAGAGCTGGTTGCCTGGCGCGATGCCTGGCGCAAAGACCAACCCGCCCATCCCACCCATCTCGCTCAAGTCGCTCGGTGAAGCTCATTTGCTCCTCTTCAGGCCTGAGTGTTCATGCGACGACTCGTCCCGTGAGTACCGAAGCCACCACGCCGAAGCCACACAAACGTTGGCACCACACATCGCGGAGCTGTGGTGTGACGTTTGTGGCAGTTCTTGTGTTCAGGCTGTCTCTGGGGATGCATTTTTTAAAAACTGTATTTTGCCCGCAAACCGCGTGGTTGTAGACAACGGCTGGGGGTGAGGATCAAGAACGGCCATCATTCGGTCAACGATTTGTGTGGTGGCGATTTGGGTCACAGAAATGGTCAGTTTGTGGGTTCTCAGGTGTTCTCAAGAAACACACATCAGTAAGTTACAGTTACAAACAGTGGAATTGAACTGCTTCTGCACAGGACCACCCCAAAACGCCCCCAACCCCAAATGGGAAACGGCATCGAAAAGGCCTTCCTTGCGGCATCCGAGCCTCCCGCATCCCGCGTCCCCTCCGAATGCGCCCGTGCGTCCCGCGTCCCCGTGGTTCGCACGGCGACGAAGATCGCCCCCCTCTGCCTGCCGAAGCGGAAGGCAGCAAAGATCTCCTCGCTGCAACCGATCCGTCGCGGCTTCACGACCACGAACAAGCCACGACCACGACTGAACCAATTGAAGAAGTGTGTGTGCTCGAAAAAGGGCAAACGCCGAAAGTCTTCAAAACATCAAACATGCTGAACATTTGAAGGATCTATGTTTGGGTTTGTTTGGACCACGTCGTGCCCGACAAACTTCCAAAAATAATATCGCCATCGCTAACAAACGCGCTACTTCACCAGCTACCCCAGAAAATGCCGCCTCTTCTAGCCTCTTGTTCTCCTGGGACCCCCATCGAGTGACTCGCATACCACGTCGTACCACGTACCCACACGCTATTAGTAACAAAGGGCATCGCTACTAGTAGCAAGGACGCTACTAGTAATAGCTCCTGGCCTTACTATGACAAGAAACTACTAGGAGCGTTCGGACGCTATCAGATCTTTTGAAGCAAAGACCTCAACTGATCGGGTCGCGTTCCGTGCTTCGCGACCTGGTCGACCCCGACCGGGTCTTTCCCCAATCCGTGGGACTGGAATCTGGGACTTTGACATTTGTCAATGGTCAATTGTAGTGTCAATGGGTTTGGTGCGCCAGTCAATGTTCCTTTTTCCAGGGGGTTGAACTCTGAGGTCTCCCGGTTTCAATACAAATCCATTCCAGTCCCACGATCGTGTGGTGTTGAAGTCGTGCTACTCATCGGGACCCCACTTGTTTCGGCTCCTCTGCTTGTCCACTCCAACCTGCAGTGCTTTTGCGCCAATTTGCAGTGCAGGAGCCGGGTTTTCGGCGCCACAGATTGGGAATTCAGCCAGGAACCGGGACAAAAAACGATCACCCGAACACCCGCAAAAGCCGTGCTTTTTGGAGATGACAATGGATGACAGAACTCCGGTGGGTTTCCCACAGATTGGTTTCTGGGAAGTCGCTTCGTTCTAATTCAGAGACGTTTCCCTATCAGCGGAATGCGAATCTGTAGCCGGCCCTGGTTCATCAGGAACCCATGCCATCATGCAGGACTCAATTTACAGTAGATTCATGCCTCTCGACATCGTCAATGCGCATTTCGACTGCGCAGGCTCGCAAAGTCTGGGTGCCCCGGGCGGGTGCTTCTAACGACTGCGCTCTCGTTGTGGTGTCGTGCGCATTTCCGCACATGATGGTCACTTTTCGTGGCAGGTGCAAGGGAAACCTCGAGTTTTCGTGCTTCAAAGTCGACTTTTCGTGACAGGTGCAAGGGATCGGAGCTGTTTTACTTCGAAATGCAGTTTTCGTGGCAGGTAAAGTACTTTGGACACGGTGGTGATCTTCGACGAGCTCTGATTTCGTGACAGGTGCAGTGATCGACATGTGGCTCGTTTGCAGATTTGGTGGCAGGTACAGCACTTTGTGAACCTCGACGCGCAGATTTCGTGGCAGGTGCAGCGCTTTGTGAACCTCGAAGTGCAGATTTCGTGACAGGTACAGCACTTTGTGAACCTCGAAGTGCAGATTTCGTGGCAGGCACACAGCACTTTGTGAACCTCGAAGTGCAGATTTCGTGGCAGCACAGCACTTGGTGAGCCTCGCAGTGCAGATTTCGTGGCAGGCGCAGCGCTTGGTGAACCTCGAAGTCCAGATTTCGTGGCGCGCGCAGTACTTTGTGAACCTCGAAGTGCAGAGTTCGGCGCAGGCGCAGCACTTTGTGCTCTCAGATGCTCACTCTCTCACTCTCACTCACTCTCTCACTCTCACACTCACTCTCTCACTCTCACTCTCACTCTCACACTCACTCTCTCACTCTCACTCTCACTCCCACTCTCCCACTCACTCTCTCACTCTCTCACTCTCTCACTCTCTCACTCTCTCACTCACTCACTCACTCACTCACTCTCTCTCTCACTCACTCTCTCTCTCACTCACTCACTCACTCACTCACTCACTCACTCACTCACTCACTCACTCACTCACTCACGCACACACGCTCACACTCACATTGACATTTGGAGGCTCGCAGTGCTGGACATAAGTAAAATGGCACGAAGTTGGAGCACGCGTCATGCGCCCCTTTGCCTTTGTACAATGCGACCTCCCTTCCATGCCAAAATGCAGCTTTCGCTCGAGACTTCCGCCGCTTTTTGCAAACGAACCACATGTCAAACACTGCCAAAAGGTCATGATTCACTCGCCTGCCACGAAAAGGCGACTTTGGACCACCCAATTTTGCGTCAACGAGAGCAGCCGCGCCAGCCCAGCAGATCCTGGGAGCCTGCGCAGTCGAAATGCACTTCGAAGATCTCGAGGTGAATGAATGCACTGTAAGGCCGTTAGCGGATGCAAGAACCTCTGGTCAGAACCTTGCCTTAACCACTACCGTAAGAACCGCTAGTGTTAGAAACTGCTGGTTCTCACTTTTGCGCTTAGAACCTTCCAGAAGGCACACTTAGAAACTATAAGGACATCAGGAAAGCTAGCAAAACTCCCGTCTTTTCACACACACTCTGACACTGGTTTTCAGTTAACTCAGTTGCCACGATGGGAAGGATGGCGACGGAACAGTAAGGTGATTGGGTCCGATCACTTGAAGTGTTTAACATTGTTTCACTCGCTCTGCTGAAAAATGCTGCACATCTGCGGTGGAAAGGGGGGTTTATGGGAGGAAGCATGAACAACCATGGAAACAAACCGAGAGTGGAACAGCTTGACCAAAAGTTGAGCGCAGGTACGTCGGCAAGCGTCCTCGCCGATATCAGCACAACCTGAAGAGCCTCTTTGTTAGATGCCCTCTCTTCAGGTGTGGGGCATCCCCCTGCTTGTGAGAAAAGCGGGAAAGTGATTGGAAAAACCCTTAGAAACAGGGTGTGACACACACACACACAGCTCTGCCCTGCCAAACACGTGGAACGTTGAAGTGTGCAAAACTCTCTGTTTTTCCATAGTGAGGTCAGCCGTGCATTGAGGGTCCCATGCAAAAGAGGATCCACTATATATATATATACTGTATATAATGTATATTGGTAGATGTTACGTCAAAGATAAGTGAACATTCTTATTGATGCAATGTTTTGTTCTAAGTGTACGTGTTGTTCCAAGCGTACATGTTGTGTTCATTCTAAGTGTAGGTTTTCCCATTGTTCTAAGCCTTACACTTAGAACCTCTCTCGGGGACGCGTGTATAAGTATAAGCCTCAAAGTACGTCAGAAAATAGGTACAAGTATCTGTTATAGGGCCATGTCCCATTTTCTAGAGTACTTTGGAGGGTCCAGATATATAAATATAGTTATTTTCTTTCAGGAAACAAAACACCTGAAAAACACCTTCTGAATCGTAGACCAGATACTGTTTGGGGGATCGTCACTTTTGAACCCGATCTTGCTTTCAAATCTGTTTCTGTCGATTTTAAGTCGTGCAGGTTGAACAGCCCAAACGTGCTCCTTCAGTTGTTGAGTGTTCTCTTCTGGTCTCAGGGTTGACCCTCCCAACCCCTCTAATTGACGGTAGGCTCTTGATGAGAATAAACACCACCCCCAATTGGATGCGCTACACCTCTTTCCTATGGATAAAAGCAAAAAAAGGAAACAGAGCTCCACTGCTTGACCTCGTGGCGTTGTTCGAGCTCCACTGCTCCTCGCCGTCGTCGCGCTCTTCATCAACAGTCTGCCCCAGATCGATCCGCACCCCACCTGGGAGCTTCTCCATGACCCCTTCCCACCTGTCCGGTCGCTCCGGGTCGCTACATGAGGTCGGTCGGTCAGGTCAGGTCAGGTACAGATCCAGGCTGAAGCGAAGCGCCCCAGTGACCGAACCACCCACCCGGAAGACGGCCTATCAAACACAGCCTATCAACTGGGTGGTGCACCACCCTCCTAGTCTTCCCATCAATCAACCCAAAGTGTAACCCGCAGGCCATCGTCATGCTCTTCCATTGTGTCCAAGCAAAGGACTGGGTCCACAATGTTCGGACTGGGATCTTCAGGACTTGCGCGAGTCTTAGGTCTTGTCTTTTAGTCCTTGACTCCGGCCGAGCAGGTCAATTCGGAGCCTTCGGCAATGTTTCTTTTGAGACCAGAGACCGGAGAGAAGTGCCAGGACGCCGCTCGATGGCTCAAAAACGTGGCAAAGTCAGGGCCCACCACTCGATGACTCGAAGTGAAAGCAGGTCTAAACCCAATCCTTTCAAAACAAGAACACCACCACCACCAGCAGCAGCAGCAACAACAACTCCACAAAACTACAAAGGTAGCTTGGCATTGCTGGCCCATTCAAAAAAACCAACTGGTACCCTCCACACAGATTTCAGTGCCCACTCCGCCTGTCAAAGTTGAAGTCGGGGCTACTGGGCGGTGCCTCAAAACGAGAGGGCGTTGGGTCTTCCGACCCTCCAAGGACCCCGAAGGGACACGAAAAACCAGTTCGACGTCTTCGACCTTCAGATGTCCTTCGAAGAGCAAACCACGAAAACCGCTTGACCGATGAAAAGCGGTGGGCCGGTCCTATTTCAAGTCGACCTATTCTCCTATTCCACGCTTCGCATGGCATAGATGGGTCATATTCCTCACCATCTTCGCCCACCCCGTCCACCATGTGCAGAACTACCGACCACCGTGGTGAACCCTTCGATCTGCTGGTGCCATGACCCACATCCCACGAACAGCCCAACGAATGCAAAGCCCAACGATGAACAGGCACAGGCCAGGCCAAACAGGCCCCACAACTGCGAAGACACGGCGAGATGACACTTGCACAAGACTGTTTTATTGGAAGCCACAGCGCTGCGGCAGCAGCAATGACAACTAGCAATAAGCACAGTGACAATACACATAGTGCAAGTCATAGAGGCACCAGCCATGGCAAGTCAAAATGATCAAAGTAACAACCAATCTATATGAATGATACCATCCACAAAAGATCTGTTTTACCCTCGCCGCTATGGGCTGCTGATTGTTGGACATTGGCTCGGAGTGCGATTGTCAAGAGTCATTGCAAATACCATCTCTCCAACAAACAACCCCTGTTTGTAGCGGATTTCATGGTCTTTCCAGGGGGCACATACCATCTACGATGATGACCTTGGAGGGCAACTAATTTGCTTTGATGTTCTATCACAAAGTACGACAGCTTTCCGGAAGCCGTGACGACTTCACTCCATGACATTTTTTTCCCTAAGCAAGCCGTGATTTCCCCAGTGCACCCCAGGCTAAGGAACCAGGGATTCGTTCGGTCTATGGTTTGGTCGTCGAACTGGAACCACTGGTGACCAGCGTTTCATCGTGGTTTGCTTGGATGCCCTGGGTTCCGACCTTTCCCCGGAAGACGGGACCCTGGACACCCGGCTCTTCATATGACCCGGAGAAGGCCGGAGACCGGTCTGCACAGGATGAGCCTTGACCCAGCCCCATCCCGCATGATATCCTGACATTGGAGAGATATCGTAACCCAATCATTTGGAGTGTTGAACCATCGATTCTCTTCGATTTGGCCTGCTGAATGCTCTCCCCAATAGAAGGAAAACATATGTGCCCCAAAACCCCAAAACCACCACCCCAAATCCCGACGTCATTCGTCGTTCTGCGTGTCTTTTCGGGTTCTCCCCTGCAGAGGACTATACATGGAACCCCAAAACGGCCAAACGATTGGTCCATCCTATTAGCCCGGTTCCATGTGGTCCGTTTGCGACTTGGGGTGTTCTTTCCAACAAAGGTTGAAGAACCCTAGATCGACCATCCCAGTTGGGTACCCCAGGTGAGACGGCCCTAGGACACCATGCTCGGTGGAGGCCACTACTACTAGTAGGTTGGAGGCCACTACTACTAGTCCCTATGGATCCACTGCCACCGAACCTGAGGTACGGTGATTGGAGACGAGACTTATGTAGGTGCCAGGAAGGTCCAGTCTTACCTTCTGAGGTTCTGTGGCGGTGGATCCATAGGGAGTAACAAGAAGCGGACCGAATGTCACAGTTGTGTTCTGCGCTCCTAGCCTGGTCACCGACCGGTTCATCGTCTCCGGGTCCGGCGCCTGTGCGATGTCCAGGCTGGGTCCGGTCCAGGTGGCACCCACCTGAAAAAACGCGAGGTGCGGCGGAGGTGAAGCACCCACACCGTGAAAACATGGGCAGCTGGGTGACTAGTGTGACGAAAGTCTATTTAGCCCACTTATGGTTGGGATGTTAGAGGTCTTTTTCTTTGACCAACCATGGTTTTGGGATGTTTTTACTGTGCTTTCTTAGAGTGTATTGCTTAGGGGCGGATGGTCTTCACTGGCCGCGGCATAGGTGCGGACGAGCCGGTTCCGCGGCGAGATGTGGAAGACCCGGTTCTGCGCCGGGCCCAAGCTGGGCGACCCCAGCTGGGCGACCCCAGCTGGGCGACCCCAGCTGGGCGACCCCCAACCAGCTGGGCGACGGCGTGTGAAATATGGTACAAACGTTCGGCTTAAAACACATCATTTGCATCAGTCATTACTCTGTGATCTTGGCATAGGTAGAGCTGGATCGAACTTGGCCCTTAGACCCATGTTGCCTCATATTTGTCTCGCAGGCTTCTGGACTAGGGCCTACCTTGAACAGGCCAGGATCCTAGTGAAACACTTAAGACCTGCCAAATGGAGTCACAACTTGTGACCGACCGAGCCAGGCCCTCCTGTGGCCGAGTCAACCGCAAGATGAATACTTCGATCACGAAGAACCAGGTTCCCCTTCAGACAGGGCTTCCTTGTGGCCCTAGCTCAACTGGTCTGTTCAAGGTGGGCCCTGGCTCAACTTCAACTTCATGCCTGGTGCGTTTAGCAAACCGAGGCCCCCGCTAGTGCGGCCAGTCTAGAGGTGAGACCCACCTCAGCACATGCAAAAAGGGAGAGACCGGATTAAGAGCACTGGCAGTCACTATAATAGTTGTCCCCAAATATAGTTTTTTGTTTGTGGGATCTACTTTTCTATCTATTTGGGGAAGACATCAAAGTATATTGTATAGTTATGTAACTTTGTATATATGGTGTTGGAGGATTCTTGGCAACGGCAAGGTTTCCACCCAAAGTTCGTATGCGGGCGTCATCTCTATAGTTTATGTTCGAGCAAACCACAAAATCTCAAGCCGAAGTTATCTTATTGAAGGAATGGTCAGCAGGCTAATTAGCTAACATCCTCCTTCTGGGCGGGAGAGTCCACGAAGAGCTCATTCGGGGCCCTGACGTTCGTTTTCTCCGTTAAAAGACCACCACTGAACCACCGAGATGTTCTCTGGAGCCACCTTCCACCAACAACCAAAAAATACATCGACTTCGTGGTGCAAAATGCCGCGTCACCACCATGCTTCGTCGAGATGAAGACAGGAGCTTTTCGAACGAAATTTCCCACACTTGGGCCATGGTGGAATCCCTGCCATCGACCGCTTCCTGCCATCGAGCGCTTATCGACCCCACTGCCGTCAGGGGGCGAAGTCACTCGAAAAGATCAGCTCCAGCAAGGCCTGGAGGTACCGAGTCACCCGGGAGGGTCCCGGTCGGAGCCTGGGTGAAGGGGAGGGAGAAGAAACCTCGAGTGAATTCAAATCAATACGTGAGTGAAGTAAGAGATGTCTGTGGAGAAACCTTGAACTATATTATATACCCTAGAAGTCCAGTGAACTACGATATTTTCACCGGCTGAAGTGTTCAGGAAGTTCCCGAAATCAGGTCCCCGTTCGTCAGACCCATTCTTTTTTATAGTCTGACCGACTCCGTTGGCCCGTTGACCACCCGACCGACCTTAAGTCGTCGTCTGCGAGACGTGGGGGGGGGTTCGATGGGTCCTGTTGGACGGTTTGGTAGCCTGCAGTTGGTAGGTCCAGGTGGTACAGATTCAAGGGACCTCGCCAGGGGTGGTGAGTGAATTGTGGAGTTTTCTTTCCCCCAAGCCTGAATCCAGCTGCAGCAATTCTCACAATCGTCTGACGCTGATACTCAGCAGCAGGGACACAGAGGGCGGAGGGAGAAGCCGCAGAAGACCTGTTTGGGCACATCCTCGAAGCCAGTGAAGTCCAGGCCCCCTTACAAAAGCCGACAGCTTAATATAACATCATATAACTAGTAGCGATGGTCTCCAACATGCTAGAGATGGCCTCCAACCCACTAGCGATGGCCTCCAACCCCCTGCAGGGGGACTACATGGAATCCTAAAAATACTGGGTTGAAGAGGACAATGGTCGAAACCACAGGTATATTCGCAGGGTCCCATGGGATCTTCTGAGAGTAGTAGGTGAAAGGTGGTGTTGTTCATGGATGATCCATACCATGAACAGTCAAGAGACCTGTGCCCTTTTTCGTCAAATTGTGACTGGGATATCATACTTCGTGTGTACAGAACATCAACATCACAGCCTCAAAACACAAGACTCACAAGATCCTAAACCCAACGAGAATTGGACACCATCAGCCCTGTATCGACCCTTCGTTGGATCTTCAGCCCTGATGTTTTGCCTTAGGACCAACCAACCGCCCAACACAGTGCGGCACCCCACCCCATCCCCATCCCATCCAAACCCGATTCCTCCAAGCACATTCCCCGAAGAAAAAGAACACCCTTGCTGGAGCACTGTGCCATCATGCCATCTGTGCCTTCTTAAGATGATCCGCCTCAAACATGAACATTCCTCTCACATTCCTCCCGATGGCCTGTGGGAGCGCCCTTGCTGGGATTGCTTGAAGGTCGGACTGAGCCAGGTCCAGCGCTGGCAGCACCTGGACGACGCCAGGTCCCAACGCGGACGACGACGACGTGGACGGCGGCAGGGGAGTCGAGTCCCTTCACTCACCTGGAATTGATGCGAGGGGCCCCTGATGCGACGGACAAGTAAATCGTTTTTATCGCACAAGAGGAACTCTCTTCGATCTATTTCAGGGACACTGTCCAGCTCACCCAAGCGGCCAGGCAAAATACCAAGCACGTGCATTTTCTCCTTTTTAACCATTCCACCTCATGGAATCATAGAATAAACCTCTTCCTGCAGTGGTAGAAGCTATGACAGCTATGACGCACCAAACGCCCCAGACTCCGCCGGGCCAACCGGCGGAAAAGGAAAGAACTCCAGTCGACAAAAGAAGATTGGATCCAGCCGACACGGATTGGTGAGAACAACCCAGACCCTGTGGCCCCAAATGGAGGGTCCAAAGTCGCGGGATGTCCCGGGTCCCCTTGGGGTCACTGCAAGCAGTCTTCGTAATTAGCACCAACTGCAAAGTGGCATAAGGGATGTAGCACTGCCGGTTTTGAGGGATGCGACTTCAAGAATCACACTTGCAAACGTTCCACAGGTTTTAGTCTGTGTTGCAGATATTTCCATCAGCAGGGATAGGCGATAGGGGAAAAAAGGTGCACCTTGTGTTTTAGCCGTAGAGCCATAGTCAAGTGTTCTGTTGTTCCCAATGCACATATTCAATTTGCAAAACACAAGTTAGACGACCATGTTTGACCCTTCACACTGACGGCTATGTTTTAGCTATGTTTCGACTACTAGTCAGACATAGTCAGACCATTAGACTAGCTAGCCTAGAAGTCCAGTTCGACTATATTTTGACCGACTGAAGTAAAGGAAATTCCTTTTTTGGGTCACCTAAAGACCATTCTTTTTATATCTTTTTATAGTCTTTCACTCCCAGGAGCTATGTCGCCTGGACTCGGGACTCGCCTGGTCTATCCCTTTCCGCCGGTCGACGTGACCATTCGAGATCCCCCCGACGAAGCGATGCGGCGCAGGTTGGGTGGTTCCAGGTAGTTGAGCCCGAAGACATCAGTTTGGTGGAAAAGGGCCGTTTTTTAAAGGAGAGTTGTCTTCCAAGTTCCGGGCCTGGAATGTCCACTTCTATGTCTTCGACAGTGTGTATGATGGAGCGTCAGTCTTCAATGACCAAAACGGCATCCGGCGGTCGCCAGAAGGCCTTTTTGCATTCAACTGGATCCTCTCATCTAGGACAAGGCGCTCTTTTCGCGCATCCCAGTCGCTTCCTTTGTATGTACAGTGGATCTGCACCATCTCTCGAAAGGTGCCTGCTTGATCCGCCTCTCAAAGCTTCGGAACAGCACGATGAAATCCCCCATGTTTATTCCTTACTACTATAGGAGCAAGGACGCTACGAACGGGGCTCCTAGCATCACTACTGGGAACAAGGTTCGCTACGAACGGGGTTCCTGGCCTTACTACCAGGAGCGTTCGGACGCTGCGAACGGAGCTTCCAGGGAACCTCTCGAAGCTTCCCTCGCCTCTTGCGCCGAACAGCACCAAGACTTCCCGAATCATAGCTTCCAGGTGCCACTGAATTCGTGCTCCACCAAGGATTGCGCTGGATCCGATTCGGCTCCATATCCAATGGTGCTGACCCTGCCAGAGGCCAAGAGGTAAAGCTTCCAGCTTCCAACCTTGAACAATTGCTTATGATTTGCTTATATACGTCACCAGAACAAAAAATCTTCAAAAACCAGAGGATTCACCCAGTGATTTCAAGTCACAAGGCCAAAAAAAAGACTAAACAAAAAAGCAGGCAGGCCAGGCAACGGAATAAGCTCTTTCACTGGGGAAACTCAAAAATCTTCGTTCCTCCGATGCATTCACTCGGTCTGACACCTCCATCTGCACACCGTCCGCTACTGCTTCAGCCAGAAACTCGTGCACTGCATCGCTAAAGGTCGCTGGACCGGTGAGCTCCACGGTCTCGCGAATTTTCCATAAGAATTTCTCCTTCAGGATCTCCAAGGAACCTGATTTGGTCGACCAACTCACTGGAAAAACAAGTCCCCAAGTGGATCTTCCCCCAAAATCATCTATAAAAGATCAACGACTGGCGAAAAAGAACACGGCCATGGCCACAAACTAGTCAGGGGTTGGAGAACTTAGCTCCTTGGCTCCATGTAGTAAATAATTAGAGAATCGATGGATACTTGATACCCTCCCCACATCCAGCTCGCCCTCTCCGTTTCAGCTCGCCCTCTCCAAGCCCGCTCGCCCAGCGACGCAAGAGCACGGGATTGCCGGGCGCCGAGGCCAAGAACCACTGCTCCAGTTGCTCCACGCGCGTGAAGCCCACGTCACCCCTTCCTGATTCGGTCAGCTGATGCCCTGCCTCGTAGCCAACCAGAAAGTTCACGTCCTGGGGATGATGCTCTCCTTGGAGGAGGGAACTGGGAACGTGGACGGCCGCAAACGAAAAGGGAAATGTGAGAATTGATCCTGAGAAAAGGCCATGTTCTACTACAACTTAGTGGTTTGGGGGTGTCCATGCAGTCCTCTGCAGGAGGGTACCTACATAAACAAACCAAACAACTACAAAATGTATGAAAGCTTCCCTCCCCCAAGGGCACCCACATCCATACCAAAAAACAATGTCCAAACGATAAAAAGAACCAGGCATCATAGGTGCTGATGGGTTGTGAACATGTCACATCCAAATCGGCGTAGTAACCTCCCTGGTCCCATAGGACCAAATACCGAAAGACATCGGGTGTCAGAGCCTCCCAAATGGGCCACATCAAATCGGGCGATTTGCTCTTACAAAGCTCGGCGATCTCGGTATCCTCACGTGAAGCTCAAGTGAGTGAGGAGTCTGCTAGACAGTGTGAAGCTCGTTTGGAGAGGTTGCAATTGGTCGTTCGGGAGAGACCGTTTGCACAATAAACCAACATAACATCACATTTGAACCATGATTTCTCGATGAGAATAACATGGAACAAACAATGTGATCATAAATCAAGAGCGGCTCAGCATCATTCCAGAGCTTGTGCTGACATTCTGGGTTCTTGGAAGTCCAAGACTTCACAAAGTCTTCCTGATTGGAATCCAGCGTGTGTGTCTTCCAGGTTTGATGAATGACACATGGGATCTGCTCAAGTCCCACATGGCGTCTCACTTCCAACTGCAAGAGAGACAGAAATTGGCACGCAGAAGGCTCACCAGCTGTAGCCAGAATGGGGAAGACGGCCACGCCAAAGACGCGGCAAAAGGCTAGTAAAGTCATGGGTCGCATGTGAAGGCTCCAAATGGGGGAGCCTAGTGCCTCCAAGTTACGCTATCAGAGCCACAAATGGCTGAGATACCGCAGAAACCGGCCAAAACTGATCTTTTCGCCGAATTGGAAGGTCTTTTGGGGGGTCGTTCGGGGTTGTCGACATAGTCACTATACCATGTTCACCGAAGTGTTTTAAAGTACTTGACTCCGCATCGGACGTGCGGCCGACTCGTCCGGTCGTACCGTCGCCGGGTCGTACTGACCCGAGCACGAAGTTCCTTGGTTGAAGAAGAAACAATCAAAGAACGTTTGAATCAATGGAGCAATGGTTGTTTTAATACCCTACTCCATTCAGAACCATTTGTTTTAATGGTCTGAATCCTAAAGAACCATTGTTTTACGAAGGATTTTTGCACTACGCCACCAGCTCAATTCTTTTAATGGTCGAACTGAAGGCACCACGGAGTTTGGGTGGTTTATAGACATCCCATGTATTTTTGTCCTTCCAATAACCACCCGTTCAGGCTCAGTGGCAAGTTTTTATCAGAGGAAGAATCAGGGACATCGGATCATTTGGATCTAATTTCTAAGCAGAACATCGTCAGGACTACCGGCCTCATCCGCAAAACGATGGGTTGACACTGTCGATCTTCCCACCGATTCTGAGACGAATCGGCAGAATACGGTGCCTCGAATTCCGCCACACCTTCGCGCCGGGCCCCGCCTCTAGGACCTTTGGGACAGTATTAAATTCCTGGGTTTCTTTTGTGATATTGTTGGAGGCCATCGCATGGAGGCCGTTTCTCGTTTGATACCACTCGGATTAGTTGGCATTTGGATGCCGTCGCCGGAACCTGTTCGCGAGTCCCATTCATTCGTAGCAGCGCGCCTGCTTCAAAACCAGGTCTGGCGTCAGCCTCAGGCGAAACGGGCAGCTGTGGCCCGTTGACCCCGAAGAGAATCAGACAGTGAAGCAACCTAATGGCAATGGCCTCCACCCTAGTAGCAATGGCCTCCAGCCTAAGAGCGATGGCCTCCAACCTACTAGCGTGAAGAACCCCATTGACATAGGGTTCAAGGATGTTGATTCATCCGGTCTCTTCAGGTGAGTGCAGTAGTTGCAGCTGTCGGCGTCCGTGCACACGAGAACAGCGAAAGCCCCATCGTTCGCTGGGCTGGGTTGATCAAATCCCAAACACTGGGCTGGGTTGCTGGCATCCTTGCCTGACACTAAAACCACTCCGCAATATGTGTCATATATTCATGGAGTGTCTTGGGACTTGTGCTGTTCTTCCTGCGGAATCTCGCGCACTCGCGCACTCAGAGGGCCTGGGTGTCCTATCCCGTGGCAGTGTTGGTCCCATCCCGTGGCCCGCCAAACCGGAAACATGCTGAACACTGGACCAGAAGGGCGTTTCACCAAGACCAACAAACCCAGCATGAGCCCTGAGCCCAGTACCGACCTGCATCGCCGACCTCTTCTCCGGCTCGGGGTCTTTTTCGGCTTGGGAAGTACCCCAAGTCACTTGGGATTTACCTGTGTGGAGTTGATCATCTCACCTAAAGGAGCCCATCCGATTTCACCCTCGGTCAGCCATGAACACCACAACATCCCACGTCTCACCGGATGTTGTACCCGCCTCAAACCGGCCAACGGCCACCGGACCGGACCTAAATCACTGCCCAAGTCCTCAAGATCAGAGACTCTCAAAGGTCCTTTAGAAATCATATATATATGTTGATTCGCATTCGGCATGAGCACCAGCCCACTTGCCGGCCGTCGAGGGAACACCTTTAGGCACGAGTTCCGCAGGATGGAAAATAGGTGCGCCCACATGTGGTGGTAGGATCCACTTCGAGGTTTTTGAGATTGGTAGCGGAGCCCTGAATAGCAGGGCTCCGGGTAGATAGGACTCTACTCCGGATCATTCGGCATGAGCGCGGCTGCTAGTACTTCAGATTCCACTGGTCTTCGATCGTTCAGTGGAGATTCAGAAGATGCAAAAGAATACAAGCGATGGAAGGTGTGGGTGAGCAACAAATTGCTCACCATTGCTGACAAGGTTCCTGAACATGCCCGTGGCGCCTACGTGTACACCCTTTTGTCTGGCAAAGCATTGGAGTGTGTAGAGCACCTTGACCCCAGCAGTTATCAGAAGAAGGATGGCGAGAAGATCATCTTCGAACGCCTGGACCAGCGTTTTCCTCAGAAAGACGCTTCCGACGAGATGTCGGAAGTTTTGACGGAAGTGTTTGCCGTCAAATCCCATGAGGGAGAATCGCTGAAGGCCTGGATTTCTCGAGCAACTGAACTGTTTGATCGATGTCAACGCAAGGTCAACGTCAACTTTCCTGAGGAAGCTCGCGGTTGGATGATCCTACATCGATCTGGCTTGAGCGATGAGCAAAAGGCAGTTGTCCTCGCTCGATCGTTGGGGGTGTTGAAGAGGGAAGAGATCGGTCGTGCCATGCGCTCTTGTTACCCCGACTTCGTTGTTGGTAAGAGACGCGCTGCAGGTATTTCTCTGGTCGAGGATTCCCTACCTCCTGAGGACGACATCGCTGCTGATGAAGAGTTCGACGAACTTGAACAGTTCTTAGCAGAGCATCAGGTCGCCTCCGAAGAGCCTGATGAGTTGTTCGATGAACCTGATGTCGCCGAGGCCCTAGCTGTGTCTTGGAAGGAGAGGAGAAAAGAGATGGGTCAACTCCAGCGTGCCCGCCGCTTCAAGCAAGCTCAAGATGTTCGTCGCTCCTTCAAAGTCGAGATTGAGGAGTTGAAGCGTCGCACTAAATGCAACAAGTGCGGTGCTGTCGGACATTGGGCTCGTGAGTGCAAGTCAGGCAAGGGCGCTTGGAACAAGTCAGCATCCTCAAAAGGGTCGTCCAAGGGCAAGGAATCAGCTGCAGCCATGGTAGTTGAAGAACACTTCATCGCCATGATCGACATCCTGCCATCCTCTTGGCGATCCTTGCAGTGGTTGAGAGAGAAGCAACAGAAATGTTCACCTACTGCTGAAGAGCAGCTGCTTGTGAGTTCACCTGGGTTCGGAGTATTGGACTCCGGATGTGGCCGCTCCATCATTGGTTGGGATACATTACAAGAGTTCAAAGACTTGTGGAAAGCCCGCCAGATGGAGATCCCCGAGCCTTTTTCTGAGGTGAACCACTTCAAGTATGGTAACGGCCACAAAGAGATGTCCAAACAGGCCATTCGTGTCCCCGTTCATCTCGGTGGCAGGGTAGGAACCATCAAGGCAGCCATCGTGCAGGGCCAAGCGCCCCTGTTGATCTCTCGCAGTGCACTCAAAACCCTGAAAGCCACCATCAACTTCGAGACGAATGAACTGACTGTTTTCGATGATCGTGTAGTCATTCCTTTGGCCACCAATCAAGCTGGCCAATACACTGTTGATTTGCTTGGCAATCCTGAAGGCCCCAACAGTGCCTTCGAAGAAATCATGATGACCACCGCCATTGATCAGGTCAGTGCACCAACCCTCGACGTGTCGGGTAGTGATCCGCCGGCCATGTCGTCCATCGAGACCAACAACGAGAAGCTGATGGCTCCAGATGCAGGTCCTCCGAATTCCGAAACAGCATCGTGGAGTAGGGTAGATATGTATGCCACTCATGTTCCTTCGCTAGGTAAGCAGGGTCCCAGGTGGACGACAGTCAAACATAGAATTGTGACCGACCTTGATTCTCATGAGGTGCTTTTCGACGAGCCAATTGATCCCAGTAAAGGTAAGGCCAAGTATCGTCATGCACTCCCTCCACATGTACTCCGATGTCAAACCGAATTTCTGTACACGCCACAGGAAGAGTGTCTGGTCTTGGAGAGCCTGCCCAAACATCATCTCCGGCAGTTGGAGGCCATTGTTCGGGAGACGCTTGCCGTACAGCCTCATGACAAGTCCCAGCAGTCTCATGATCATGGTAAGACACTTCTAGTTGCCGAAGTCTTTTCACCGCCTCGATTTAGCCCGGTGGTCGAACAAATGGGCTTCGCGAGTCGTTCATACGATTTGCTCAACGGGTATGATTTTCGACGCGCCGCCGACAGGTCAGCTGTGAAGCAAGAACTGAGTGAGAGACCCCCCAAATTGCTTGTTCTCTGTCCGCCTTGCACGGACGAAGGCGGTTGGTTCAACCTGAACAGCATGTACATGACACCAGCCGAACGTGCAAGACGCATAGCTCAGAGTCGCATGTACATCCGCTTTTGCTGCCAACTGTTTGAGCAACAGGTGAAGTTAGGTGGTAGAGTGCTTTTGGAACACCCTCAGGGTTCAAAACTGTGGACATACCCAGAAGTGCAGGCTTTGAGTCAAGAACACCACCTGATTCTTTGTCACATGTGTAGGTATGGTCTCAGATTACCTGGTTCTGACAAGCTTCTCAAAAAGGGTACCCACCTGTTGGTCAGTCACGAGGACATGAAGATTTTGGCCAAAGAATGTCCGGGTCAGCAACATCCTAAGCATGTATGTCATCAGCACATTGCCGGATCTGTTCCTGGTGTGGGTCAAGTAAGTACATTTGCTGGACAATACACTCATCAGTTTGTAGATGCTGTGTTGTCAACCATCCCAATGTTCAGGAAGCAGGAGGCAGCAAGCTGTGCAGCGTGTCCATCATGCCCAGAGCAGAAATGTCAAGAGGTCTTGATGGCCAAAGCCGATCTAGGTAGCGATGTTCCCGATGACCAAATCAAGAAGGTCCTCGATCGGTTGCACAGGAACCTTGGTCATCCACCCGTGCACGACTTGATTCGCCTGCTGAAACATGCTCAGGCCAGCCAGAAGGCAATTGACCTTGCTCGCAAATTCGACTGTGATCTGTGCAAGAGTCAGATCCGCCCACATGTGCCATTGCCAGCCAAGACCAATAGAGTGTCGGGTTTTAACCAGGTCGTCGGTCTCGATGTCAAGAATCTTCCAGGTTGGACCTCTAATCAGAAAATCAAGGCACTGAATATTGTTTGCCATGGTAGTTGCTATCAACTGATGATTCCATTCTTCCAAGCTGAGACCTCAGAACTTCTTCGAAGATTGTTCACCGATCATTGGATTCGCATTTTCGGTCCTCCGAAGGTAGTGGTTCTTGATCAGGCCAGAACTAACATGGGAGAGGCACTCCAAAACCATCTCGATTTGCAAGGCACCGAAGTGCGACAGATCGCAGGCGAAGCACACTGGCAACTAGGTAGAACAGAGGTTCATGGAGGTTGGTTCGCCCGCATTCTCACCAAGATCATTGCTGAACACACGCCTGAAACTCAAAAGGCTTGGGAAGAGTGTGTTACACATGCACATGTCAAGAACCAGATGATTCAGAACTATGGCTACACTCCACATCAACACGTGTTCGGTCAGAATCCCCGCATTCCTTCCGACTTGTTGGACGAACCACTTCATGTAGTGCCAGCCACTGCAAGCCTTGATGAAGCCAGTCTGGCACAATCACAGGCCATTCGACTGTCTGCCCGCAAAGCGGTCATCGAAATGCAGGATAGTATGTCGCTTCGTAGAGCCTTGGCGGCCCGGCCACGCCTGCACCAAGTCTTTGAGCCAGGATCCATGGTTGCGTACTGGAGACATCAGAAGTTCCAACAAGGTCAAGGGGTAGTTTTGGGAGGAAAGTGGTATGGTACCGCCATAGTTATCGGTCAAGTTGGTCGAAACTATGTGATTGCTCATCGCAAGCATATCTTTCGCTGTGCACCTGAACAACTGCGTCCAGCCACGTCAGAAGAGAGTATCTTGGTCAAGACGTCCCAATCTGAGCTGTTAGGAATCAAAGATCTCATCCAAGGGGGTACTTTCAGAAGTCAGAACTTTGTTGACTTGGTTCCTGGACATTATCCACCTGAAGTACAGACTGATCAAATAGGCGATGTTCCAATGGCCAGTAATTCGCCTGTAGTGCCTGAGTCCGTTGATCAGCCTGGTAAGGAGTCTGACCAATTGACTCCTCATCCCCCAAGTACTGACGAGAGAGCTCCAAGTCCTCCAGAAGACCCTCCTGAAAACCCTCTGATAGGTGAGAAGACCGATGAAGAAAAGCTCATTGAAGAGAACCCAACATCTGGATCCGACTTGAAGACTGCCTCGAGTTATGGCCCCGTTCGCTCTCGATCGCGAGTGGCCATGAAAAGTGGACCAGCGGCACTCTTTCGACCAAGACCTATGCTGCAAGATGACTTTGTGGATCTCATGACTGAAGTTGTCCCCAGACTCATCACTGAGCATATCGATAAATCATCAGCCGTGAATTGGGAACCAGATCCTGACAGCATGCAAGACGTGTCCAGTGGTCCCAGCAGCGGTAGTGGTCTTAAGAGGTCTGCCGATTCACAAGTGGCAACTGAAGAGCCACCAGCTGTGCGTCCCAAGACTGATGACACACAAGAGTCGCTAACCTCCCAGTGGTCACATGAAATCATGTCAGTGCAAGAATGTCAACAACTGATGCAAGTTTGGGATCAGACCCAAGACGTTGAAATCTTGATTGCAGCATATCTTCAGAAGAAGACATCTAAAGAAGTGCCTGCTGTGGGAAATGAACCTCTTGTGCAGCAAATGGTGGACGAATCCAAGCTGGTAGAATGGTCCACGTTGATAGAAAAAGGGGCTATTCGGGTTCATACAGGTAAGAAGGCAGCATATCTAAAAAGCAAATATCCAGAACGGTTCATGGGTAGCAGGTTTGTCATTGTGAGAAAACCATTAGAAGAAAACCTGCATCTCGACATTCAGGATCCCTCCACGTTTCGCATCAAAAGCAGGTGGTGCTTGCAAGGTCACTTAGACACAGATCTCGACCAAAAATTGAATGAGGGACTCCTGCAGAGCCCCACACTCAGTCAAATTGGACGTATGATACTAATGCAAGTCATATGTTCACATGGTTGGGATTTGCAGTTAGGCGATATAAGAGGCGCCTTCCTAGAGGCCGGTCCACTCCCAGAGAGATTTCGGCCACTGTTTGCAAAGCAGCCTCAAGGGGGCATCCCTGGAGTCGAGGCAGACGCTGTCTTGGAGGTGGTTGGAAATGTCTACGGACAGAACGACGCTCCGTCCGCATGGCACAGGGCTTTCGATCAAGCCGCCACCAGCATTGGTTGGGAAAAGTCCACCTTCGACTCCTGTCTCTATTTTCTTCGTGACCACCATGGTTTAACCGGTATCATGGGTGTTCACGTTGACGATACAGCAATAGGTGGAACTGGACCCCTTTTCGAAAAGGCAGTGCATCAACTCAAGGAACGATTCCCATACCGGAAATGGCGGGTTCAGTCGGGAGAGTTTTGTGGAGCCTTTTACACACAAGACCCTAGAACCAAAAGCATATCAATGTCGCAACAGACTTTTGCTGAAGGGATTAGACCGGCCCACATTCCGAAGGGAGCAAACAATGACCAACCCTTGAACGAGCAACAGACCAGGGTTCTTCGGGCGATAAATGGAAGCCTCAACTGGATTTCTACTCAATCACGACCTGATGCTTCGGTTCAGACCAGTCTTAGCCAACAATGCTTCCCTAGGCCGACCATCAAGAATCTGAGAGAAGCAAATAATGCTGTTCGTAGAATCAAGCAACATAAAGATTTGAAGATCCACTTCCATCCGATTGACCCAGCGCGACTCCGAATCTGTTGTCATTCTGATGCAGCGTTTGCGAATGTTGGAACTCACACTCAGGCGGGGTACATCCTGTCCTTTGTAGATAAAGATTTGAATGAAGGAAAGATTTCTCATTGGACTCCGATTGTTTGGCGCAGTTACAAGCTGCCAAGAGCCGTGAGCTCCACACTCGCTGGAGAGAGTCAAGCTCTGTCCACCGCGTCAGGCACGGTTGAATGGATGAGTCTAATTTTGAGCGAAGCCCTGGATGGCAGTTTTGAGCCAAGGCAATTCCTGGAAAGACTTCAAGCTCGATCACCGATTCTCACAACAGATTGCAAATCGTTGTATGATCACTTGATCTCACCCTCATCACCCACTGCAGTAGAAGATCGAAGAACCAGCATCGACATTGTTATCATCAGAGAATCCATTCGTAGACTCAAAGCCTCCATGAGATGGCTTCCCACGAATCGCATGCTCGCCGACGCCCTCACTAAGGATAAACTAGATCCTGTAGATCTCCTAAGAGCTTGCATGAGAAGTGGAACATACCAAATCTCACCTGAGGAACATGTTTTGGCTCAAGAAGCTGCTGAGAGGGAACTTCGGATGCAGAGACGTCAACTGACATCCAATCAGTCCCCTGGCAAAAATGCAGAGCCAGCGTGTGATCCCATAATTCACTCAGAACCATAAGATAGATCAGCTATGCTTGAGAGACTTTAACATCTTGAATAGTGAAAGATAAGATAGTCATATTCGGGAGAGTATCTTGTGGGAGCACTATATGGTGCGAGTCTTCAGTGCATATGTTGTTTTTGCAAAATGTTGGTCAAGCAGTGCCGTGCATGTTTTTCAATCGTTAATGCCTCCGCAGCCTTTTGAAGTGAGCACGAATCGTTGTCGAGTCAGCCGACCAAGTTCTAAAATGGCTTGGACCTCCGATGATGCCGCCAAGCTGCAAGAGCTGCTCCAGAAAGCAGCTGCCAACGGTGTGCATCCTCTTGCTGCTCTCGAGAAGACCGGCCGTCACTTTCAGGACGATGGTTTTGAATTGGTGACCACTGGTGGCATGTCAGACGCCACCAAGCGGCTGGGAGATGACTAATTGCCTGTGGCAAAGAAGCCAAACCAAAAGAGCTCGACCATGCCCAAACCAAAAGAGCTCGACCATGCCGCTGCAGACCGACGGCTCGATGGGATACTATGTTAAGGAAATGATGCCTGTGCCACTCCCCAGCTCATCGCTGGACCCGGCTCCGACCTACCTGCCAGCTGGAGTGAAGAGTTTGACACAGTGGAGCCAGTCGATCATTGGTTTTGGCAAGTTCAAAGGCAAAGGAATGAGCTATGCTGACTTGATCAATGCCGGCACGGAAGAGACCAAGGGATACATCAAATGGTGCAAGTCCCGGCAGTCCAGTGCTGGTGGTGAGTTGGCTGACTTGGCCAATTTTCTAGTTCAGCATGAAGCCGAGCAGTGCAAGTCGGGTATCTCACTCGGTGAGGTCATCGCTGGCACCAGCACGCGAAGGGTCTTCAAGTCGTGAATCACGATTGGATCCTCGATAGGCGGCCTAGAGTTGAGCACTGCATGAAAGATGCTTCGTCGATTTTCTAAAGAAGATTATAAGCAGTGTTGATTCGCATTCGGCATGAGCACCAGCCCACTTGCCGGCCGTCGAGGGAACACCTTTAGGCACGAGTTCCGCAGGATGGAAAATAGGTGCGCCCACATGTGGTGGTAGGATCCACTTCGAGGTTTTTGAGATATATATATATTCCATATTATTGCATTAAATATGGTCTACTAAAAAAAACACCGTGTCTGAGAACATATCGAAAATGATCGAAACATGTATCAACATATATAAAAATCCCTTCAAGTCACTCTCCACAAGTGACCCTTCCTTCAGATCCACAGCCCGCTCCCGCGGGCCCGAACCCGTGCGTTCCGTCCTCCGGTCGGTCGCCGTCGTCTGAGACCGGGACCAGGCGTGCGGAGCGGTCTCAAAGGGATCCAGCTCCACCAACCTGGGAGAAGAGAACACCGGGGACGGCTGGGGGTCGAAGCATCCGCTCAATGGAAACCAAACGCTACTGAAGATCGAAGCAAGATCCAATGAAAAGGGCCTCCTTGGAAGGAAATTCTGGCAAGTTTCTAGGACATTCTAGGACTGAAATTGCGTATAGTGTCGTTTTTTGGGGGGGGGGGGTGGGGCGTGGCCCAAAAAGATTGATCTATGGTTCGTCACCCAAAACATGGAGAACATGGGACAATCACATATCTCCGTGCCCACATGAAGCGCGGGTTCGTATCCATGGTGTTCCTAGCCTCTGCAATGAGCCCCTGCGAAAAAGAAAAGAGACTCAAACCCTGTGGTTGGGGGGTTTTTAATACACCACCTCCAAACACGTGCGCAATAGGTTTTCTATGGTTTTCTTGATTGGATCTTTTGGTGCTCCGGGCTTTTGCCCTATCTTTCGGCACCACCGCATTCATCCGAACATCTCCACCTGAGCCGGTGCCCCCCCTCCCCTAACCCGAGGACCTCCCCGAGCGCGTAAGCGCTCGGGGGTCTTTCACTGACTTTTCTGAATTCCCCAAGCAGTGTGGTCGCACTAGGGGTTCTTAGGGTAGGGGTTGAGGGGCAGTGTCTAATCGAGGTGTTGCGCGGTCGTGTGCTGCTAGTTCGCTGCTATTTACAGTGCACTCACGCATGCCTTTCGAAATCCTAGAAATGCATTTCGACGGGGCAGGCTCGCAAAATCTGCTGGGGCGCGGCGTGCTTTCTGAGGTGTGCTCTCAAATGCTCACTCTCCCTCTCTCTCTCTCTTTCTCTTTCTCTCTCTCTCTCTCTCTCTCTTTCTCTGTCTCTCACTGCCTCACTCTTACTCTCTCACTCTGACTCTAGCGCCTCGGAGCACAGATGATGAGCGTAATGCCTCGAAATTCAGACACTGCGTTGGGCATGGGCAGCTTGGGGAGCACTTCAACAATACACCCCTTCCACGACACTGGCTGCAACAAGATGGCGTTGCTCACAGCAAACATGTAAAAGGTGCTGAACATGAGCAGGACCATCACTGCAATGATCCAAGCACCAGTCTGTTGCATGTAGGTGTTGCTTGAAGTCGTTTGTGTGTTTGCCACGCACACCGTCACACCGGCTGTGGATGGTGGACCTATTCCTGCTGGTGGCTGGAACTCTTCTCCTGTGTGGCACGAACAGGGAACGCAGGAAAGAGTTCATCGGCATTCATGCGCTGGGCCAGGCTCATCACCACGGAAAGCGAAGACCCAGACTCATGTCCAAAGGTGATATGCAGAAACGGGCAGCGCAGCCAGCCTTTGGGCTGCCGGGGGGGGGTTGCACGCCGCTGCCGCTGACAGGGGTGCTGGAGGTGCACAGGCCTACCCCACTGAGGCCAGGCCCACTTGGCGAGCAACCGTGAGAGCAGCCTCTCCCACTCACTCAGGAACTTCGGGTGATCTGTGTACCCACAGTGAGGCTAGCACAGAGCGTCCTAGGGAGAGAGGAGGGCAGGGTAAGTCCCCACCACGTTGCTCCATTGCTTCCACAATGTCTTGCAATGGTCGTGTGTAGAAGCTAACCAAATGCGTGTCCCTGTATGTGCAGTTCGTCCTTGTTCCTGTTGTGCTCACCCCGGGCTGGTCTCTTCAAGGAAAGAGCTGCGGGTCCAAACGGCGAGTGTGGGCGTATCATTGAGTAGGCCGCCGAACTTTGGGCCGACTAGCAGCATCCCCGCCCTGATGGGTAGTGGCAAGAGAAAAGACAACATTTTACAATGAATCATACCAAGAAACGTCCTTCTCGCTCGCCTATCTATAGTGTGCACTGATTCTTGTATCTTCAATGATCCTGCACAGCCTCCTTGCTTCTGCTCCTATGTCGACCACAAGGCACTGCACGTCTGCTGTCCCGTGCCACAGCTTGAGCGGCCCTGTTACAACGCAGGCACGAGACCAAACTCCAACTACGCTGAGCACCACGTCGTGGCTAGCATACCTGTCGTCCCTCGCTACTTAGCTGTATATCACAGGCGGCGGAGGAATTCGGTTGGAGGCCATTGCTAGTAGGTTGGAGGCCATCGCTATTAGGTTGGAGGCCATCGCTATTAGGT